ACGATGCTCTGTATAATCACAGGTCCGCCACCTGGTGGATGGGGCGCTAACTACCTTTACGGCGGGTCACCGACCCCTCCTGGCTGCGACCTACATTCTCTTAAAATAGACGAATGTCGTTCAACGCATTTCAATCGCCATTCTCCAGTCGAATTAATTAGTAATTTTGTATTCGATAGCACTAATAGCTCAAATTCTTCTAATAGAGAAGTGATAAAATAATTTTAAGTAACTTTTAATGTTATTTTGCAGATTGGCTATAAAATAACAAAAACGAAGGCATAATAATCTGCGATATCAATAGCAGCGAGTTTGCAGAAGATATATTAATATATAAAATATTATAAACAAACAGGAATTACAAATCGGTCAAATTTATCGAACAAACGTAATTAATATGATGCCGATATAGCGATCGCAGATACAAAAATGGTGATGTTATAAATAGACGGGGAGGGTAGCGAACGTAATACTGTGAAAGCCTCGCAAAAAGGGGTGTTGGAGACGAAAATCGATCAACTACTTGACATCAATATCAGGACAATGCGAATGCGATAGGTGAAAGTGGACTTTCAAAAAAAAAAAAAAGGTCGATGTTGAATTGTGACAATTTTAGCCATATTTTAAAGTGCCCAGTAAACGATAACTTATTTTGTCAAATTATTTAGCAGTATGCGGCTTTGTTTTACGCTTTTTTTTCATATAAATGTTTGATGATTATCTTGAGATTGTTTACCGGACTCTTTATGCAAAATACGTTGTAACGTTCGATAGAACTTTTTAAGATCAACGACCCAAGTAAGAGGTAGACACGGTCGGGAGGCAATAGACAAAGAACCTAATGGAATCATGTTTTAATCCCCGAGAGCCCTCCGGAGTCAGACATCTCGGATTTCAATTGCTCCATGCAGACGATCGATTCATTGAATTTAATATTTAATAATGAGACACGAGACGCTTTTATATTTGTAGTAGGTTATACAATGCTTGCAGAGGTGTTCCTTCAATGATTTGGAAAACCTTTGATTCAATAATTTCCATCGTACAAATATTTTCAAATGTTAAATATATATAAGATAGAAACATAACCAAAGTACTTTCAACTGTAAATGTGCCCTTTATTTTATTCAAATAGCGTTTGTTTCAGTGTAAAGTTTTATATCGGCGTAGGAAGTATGAACCAATGCGAGTCGCGTCACGTGGCATCTCCGTCGTTACCGCCTAATGACATCCTATCTATTCTACAGACAGCGTGAAGCTCTTAGTGTAACGTTAGTAATAATTTAAACCTTATGTTAACGTGTTAGGTATTCATTTACATTGTATTCAATATCAAGGATAGTGATACGCATTTAAAACACGTTTACAACTACTTCAGTTTGATCATAGTATTTTTAAACCCAGTAGAAGTCAGTAATAAAGAGTTCTACATATTTGCTAACTTGACATTGATTATGCCTATATAACCCAGTTATATTGTGTGTGTTAGCTCAAAGATATACAGATTAATTTTTACGGGTTATGATTATTAATTTTTTCGAAGCCCTTGGAGATTAATAATTACACCCTTACAACCCCTTTATGTGTTGCAGGCGCCTCGCCGGCGGCGTCCACCCTTGTGACTTCATCCATTCATTGTTTGTCATATTACATACAAATTATGTGCTTTTATTACGGACATTCGGTTTATATCATACATAAAATATTGATTAATCTCATTGTAGGATATTGGTGTTATAATAGTTATTATTTCTTCCATTTACAGCATCTTTACAAGATAAATGATCTACAATTTTTTTGCAATAAATTTTGAAACGAACGACAAAGATTTAATTTAGGAGCTCGACATTAACAAAGTTATTTACATTAACTTACACTATAGAATAATTAAGATAGGTATTGTGATAAAATAAACAATACCTTGTTTAAGCCTAGGAAAATCAAATAAAGCAGCGTAAGCCTTGTCGTAAAATTAATGTCGCAGAGAAACAATCATTGAAAATAATATTAACTGTAATTCAATTACAAAGATATAAACAGCGTGATAAAGAAATCTGCAAAAAGAAATTGCGATGCATTACATCGATGGTATAGGTTCAAAAGATTTGTAAAAGAAAACTAGACTTGTGGACTAAATTTTGGAAAATATTTAATTCTGTCAAGCAATGTATGGTTTTATTAAAAAAAGATAATATTTTTTTCTGTCAGACAAGTATATAGGTATTCGTAATACCTGTCTTAATTTAAGTTCGTATTAGACTACCTATAGATCTTATTATTAATAATCGAATTCAAGTCAAACACAAGAACTGGAACTACTAAGAGTACGAAATATAATTATTGTTTTTTTTTCTCATATTTGTAACATAGTTAAATTAAAATAAAATCGATTCCATCCGAATTGATCACCTAATAGATAAGTCAATTAGTATAATTTAATTTCTAAAATGTTTACTTAACGAAAAATATTTTACAACAAAAACCAATCTGTAGTCGATTGTAACAGCGAGATATACCATTTTTACGATGTTATGTCTATCACAGCACAGCAGACCTTTTAATTATTTCTTTAGCACCATTGTTCTTTGATATTTGACATTTTAACCTCAAGGTTCAGATGTCAATAACATTGTTGCAAAATAAAAACTACGAAAATCATAGCAACGTTTAAGAAAAACATCGCAGAAACGTTGAGAAAATCGATTACGACGGAGGTACCCAACAAGATATATTTAAAAGCATCTCGTCGGGCGCCGGAGGGGCGTCGAGAACGCTAAGATGATGTCACCGCTCCGTACGCACACATAGTATGTATTTAAATACGATTTGCTAGTACATCGAACTTTTCTGGGTTACCTTGGTGAATAACCATAGAGTAAGAACCATGTAATGTGTTTTGATTTTTAACCCAAATGTATTGTGTTTTAGCTACACATAAATTGAACATGTAACTGTAAGCGAGTATCTTTGTGTAGATGTTGTATTAATCTACACTAAGGAGCTGCTTCAGTATTAATTTAACGTATTTGAGTGTGACACTTTGTCGTTATCCAACTAAAACGTTTATCGATTTAAAAAGATTACTTATATGTTAAAAAATATAATTTACTAGCTGTCGCCCGAGACTCCCTCCGAATGGAATAAAAAACCTTTATTAGCCTACGTGTTATACCTTCTATAAAACATCTAGTCATCCATCGATCCAAGCATTCGCATTTATAATATTAGTAAGATATACAACTAAAATGAACTTTATTCTTTTTATTAAAACAGAGTAATAAAATGTTCATAACATTTTAACAGCTCATTCGACCTCTGGCTTGATCGATCGTCAAGTAAGGTCACAAGGATAAACGTACAAGGATCCTCGCCTTAGTACTCAGTGGTCACGTATTTTATTCCCTTGGATCTTACGCGTGTTTTCCTTGACACATTTTCGGACATTAAGGAAAACTAATTTATATGAAGGTATACAGATTTTAAAGAATAACTTCAACTAATTCTTTTGGAATCAGACTAAAACGTAAACTTTTATCTCAGTGAAAGATCAATTAATGCTTAAAATTATTCATTTGTACAAGGCTCCTGTAGATGAGAAACTTATATGTATTTCTGTATAGAAAGTGAGGATAATAGAGCCACAGGGAAACACCCAAAATACATTTACATATTCGTAATTGTATTTCCACGTTAATTAAATTTTGTGCGTCATACATCTTGACCGCAAAGATTACTAATTAAAATAAACTGGTTTCCAAGTCATTAGCTATTGAATAAATTCACCTGTTGCCTGAGACAAACGAGGGGTGACGTGACGTGTAACTTGGAGAGGGGGGTGAGAATGCCGTCACACAACGGCGTTTAAATTAATAAACTTCCTTCCTTGTAAATAATTTAATTTTTTGGACTTGGAAAATACCACTTGTTTCACTTGTAAAACAATATCGGAAGTTATTGCTTGTTTACTGTGGGTTTCCGAGACCAAAGCCCTGTTTAAAAAATATTGTTATCTCGGTTTTGTCAAAGATGGACAAGGATAACGATATGTTTTATAAAGGCTTTTTAATGTCAGAAACCGACGGTAAAATGCAAGGAAACAGATAAATTGTCTATCGGTTTAGTCATTCGAAAGCTGCAACGTTTTATTGCTATTCTTGTTGAACTTTCTTGCCTATGTCACCGTAAAATTCTCAACTTTGTATTAAATTACCAGAAAATTGTCACTAAACGAATCATTGGTAAATTAGTAGTGTACTGTGTCACCACGCTAAATATTTGAACATTATTATTATTTTAAGATTCCCTGACATGACGGAATCGGATATGATACGTCAAACTGTGAAAAAATCATTCACTTCTCAGTAACGAAAGAAATATGCCTAGACTGATTATAAATTGGCCGAGTACACCATCGATCGGTAACATTGAAATAGACGAAAATACGATTATTCTCAAGACTTTTTGTGTAAAATTTGTGCACGTGATATAAAAACGAGTGATGTCATATTCACTGCTTGGTGGCTGGTATTGAGTCAGTGGCCAGTTGGGTACGCACTAAAAATTATGGCATCTGACGGCATGTCTGAATCACTGATTGACCTCTCTATGACACAATGTTTGTAAAGTTTTTCCGATTAATATCTGAATAGTTTGATTAATTAAATGTTGTAGAAGGTATTATTAATCCTTTGTAGATTTTGATTATTACATATACACAAATCCAAAGCTAAAGCTTGTTTTTTCCTGAACAAGGAATAGAGAAAACAATTAGTTATTTAATGTATCAGACCATTCGACCACGATATGGGCACCATTTTGAAAATGAACTTCAAAAGTAATTTGGCCGTTAATAATTTATAACCAAATTACTTTTTGAATGCTTATAAATAACGATTCATTTTGTTCTATAGCCACGTAGGGCAATTATTTTCGCTGTTCGTGAACCATAGCCAGCGGTTTATCGGCACGAAACCAAACCGGTTCTCCCGCCCTTTACTCACCGCCACAACCAGATTGAAGAAGAAGAGCACATATTTCACGAAACTCGTTCCACACCCCATTTTGAATGCACTAAGAGTCACACAATAAACTCCACCAGTTGAGATCACTCACAAATTTACTTGTTTACTTATTTGTTAACCAAGCGCAGTCCCACCTCAACGGCGAATCGAAAGTGACTAAATGAAAATAAAGGGGAGACCGCGATGGCGACGCCGCGTGTGTGTTGCCAGATCGTGATGTTGTATTTACCACACTATTCAATTTAAACATTTTTGGTTAAAAAGATCACATGTACATAATTTATTATTTTTTTATTATTTAATACTATCAGTTTGTACTTGTCATTTTATTACTTAAGTCATGTCAAGTTAATTTTAAATGGATACTTTATTCTTCGGGAAAATGTCAATGGTAAGAATAGATATTTGTGTAATCGTAACCTTGTGTAGTCGTTTTTCAAATGGACTTTTTATGATTACAATATAATGTTTGATAGCAATAACATGATCCTAAGATACTCTTAACATTTAATTAATGTTTAATAGTTTTTGTTTTAAATGTTACTATGTTTTTTTTTAAGTTTTTTCTTGCACCTATTTATCAATATTACAAATGTTCATTACAAAATGGAAGCAATGGACAATAAAAAGAAAATTAAAAAAGAATATTTCCCGATATTAAGGCAACATTTTTGCCACCAAAGCGCCCCGCACATAACTCACGTACAATTGTCCCCCTCATTCTACTATTTGCGCTCCTGCTCGCACCTAGTATCGAGTCATATTCTGGCCTCGGTCTAACATATTCATCTCGACAGGATCTTTTCCATCCAAGGAATCGTATAAAATCTTTTTTTTTAGTTTTGTGCTTATGTTCATTCTAAATAATATCTTTAAAATTTCATTAAAGCGATTTAAATCAAAAATGGTTTTGTATTTTCTTTGTTTTAATACCACAACAAAAACAACGTCAATCACGTCCGTCGTTACTTAGAAGGGTAGACAGAGGGCGGCAGCCCAGGGCGATGGACAGAAACGACGGAGGTAACCACGTTAGCTCCTCAAAAGATATAGTAGGGCCAAGTGGCCAATCTTACTAATAGTATAAATGCAAATGTCTGGATGGATGGATGTTTGTTTGAAGGTATCTCCAGAATGGTTTACAGGATCTCGTTAAAATTTGGCACAGATGTAGAACATAGTATACAAAAACACATAGACTGCTAAGTTTTCTTTTTTATCACCGTGCGGACGGAGTTGTGGTTGGCAACTAGTTTTCTAAGTCTTACAAACTACGCCCACTCCAGCGTAAGAAAATACTAAAGGGCCTGATTGATTCGAAAGTGATTTGCTGTTCATGTAGGCGTAACCGACCAACTTTCTAGTTGTATTTGCAAAGCTTGTTTTATAATTAAGGTAAGGGCTTTTTTCTTCTAGCAACAAGTTTCGTAATTTATGCGTTAGTTTTTAAAGTGAAATTTGTACAACTTTTAAATGCTCATTAATTACGTCTATAAAAATAATTAAATTAAGTAAATGCAGTTCTGGTAAATATATAGGGAAATAGAATGAAGACAATGGAATATTCTAAAATCGTTTATTAAAAAGTACAAATAGTCTTCGATCACAAAAGTTAAATAAATTTAATAAAATTTAAAAGAACAACAAACACACAACCACTAAAAAAAATTACATGTAATAAAATAATTAGGCAAAGTTCCTAGGTATTATAAATTTTTAATTGAAATAGACAATTCGAGAAAAATTAAAATTTTATGTTCACAACCCTTTTTTGTTGCGTTATTAAAAAGTATATATTTTTATAAATATCCATGATATACAGAAACCAAATTGAAATACAGCGTGACATCATCATATAAGGTCAAATTCACAACAAAAGTGTTTTCGTATAAAAGATAAGAAACACGGAAAACAAATTTCATAAGTATAGGTTTGGTATAGGTTACGTATTTCCACTTTAGCGGCTAACTGCGCGACTGTGGCCGCGCGCAGCTTTCATTTTTACCCGACTGAAAAAGATGGTAATGGTTTTCTGCGCGTATATAATATTGTTTTTATCATTTTTTACCTACTTGTATTTTATTAGTATTATCCAAATTAGTTTACTTAGTTTTGTAAGTAAGAAACTTAAACAGGCGATACCGTTCAAAATTAAGTTTAGCGCGGACAATCGCGCGCAGTAGCCGTTTAGTGGAAATGACCTTTTAATGTTTACGGGAAGGGAAGCAACTGATTAAGCTAACAGCGACCTATGATTCTTGGTATATACATAATAGCGAGACTCTACTATAAACAGTATACTTTTTCTTTTAATTCAATAACAATCGGATCAACTTTCTTGTATTGTTACTTACTTTAAAATGTTATTGTAAATGTCCATCGTTTTGTTTATATTATTTCCCCTCTCTTAACAATAATACTTACCGTTTTTGAGTTTATATTAACTTAAAAAATACATATTGTTTCAATCGCATCAAGACTATTTTATCATACTACACTTTTGACATTACTCATATTGTTTATGGTATTTTTTGGGTCACAGCAAGTAAAAGCTTCGGATCTCTTATCGCAAGTTACGTTATTGCCCGTGGCGTAGCATTGCACAATAACTTCAACAAATACAGGTTTCTCAGCTCGTTCCACTTTCCTCAGCATCCGTCTGTACAATTTGTTATCGGTAGCGCAAACGCAGATTACATGCAAATAAGAATTATGCAAACGTAACCTGTGTGCTAATATTTCTGCCAATCGTACGTACCTTTTTATAAATTGTGATTTAAAGAACTACTGCACAGTTCATACACTAAGAATACCAAATATGATGAAGGAAAATGTATTGATGCAATTTTCATGAACCTTCAAAGTATCATAGTGGTATGTGTAGTCAACCAATTCGCACTAGTACACCGTAGTTGCCGCGTCCCTCTAATTTAGGAAAGGTTAAGAAGTTAGACCTCTCGTTGCGAGTACACGTATATTGGATAATGACTTGAGTTTGGTGACGTCAACACGTGTACAAAGGAAGGTTTGTAAATCTATGTTTAAATAAATATAATACTTTATGTAACCACACTACCAACCACAAATGTATCTTATTTGTTATGTTGTGCACTTAACTAACTATTAATTACTATTAATCTTAGGATAAAAATTACAAATATAAAATTTGGCAAGAATTAAATCTTATTGACATAATTTAACCGTTTGCGATTATCTAGAAACAACTAGAACATCGCAATCTTTTTAATATTTGGGCAAGGTGGGAGCAGGTGCTGTAGGAGCTAATAAAGAATCATCCGGAGCCGAGAAAGTAGCTTCCCTTATTGAAACTGAATGCCTTATTGACGCCCGACGACGCGCCAAAATGGCGTGCGCGAGGAAAAACGTACAGAAGACACCAGTGCTCTGAAACAAGGAAAAATATTTGTTTAATGGATCATCGACCTTACAATAAATACAAAATAAAAAAAAATAATCTGATACAATAAATAAATTGACAATAGATTTTTTTTTTTAAATGTGGCTGAATGAGTTTTTTACCTGTGCCTAAATTTTTTTATAGAAAAAACGTTACTATATCTGACTGTAGTTTTAAAAGGTAATTCAATGAGTCGCTCTAGATCTTTGAACTTTGAATCACTTAAGGACTATGATATCATGTGGTTAAGCTATAAAGTTAATCATTAATTCTTTTGAGCTCCAAACTCACGGGTAAAAGGGAATTTCCAAGTTGTACGATCATGGCATAACTAAATTTACGGACTAGAATTAAGAATGCAATCTCAATTACACATTGATTAAATGAAGAAGTTTAAGGTCTTAAAGGGATAGAAAAAGTGACATTTATCTCAACAATACCCAAAACACTACGTTCACGTTAAGTTTCACGAAATAAATAGACTAAGTTATGAGCTATGTTCATTCATTTTCTTTAATAAATCTCCTTGCTCCTACCATTTGTTTAGTATAAACGAAAACAAACCTTAACTAAGATATTTCCTGCTCAACAACCAACAACTGTGGTGAAGAACAATTACGTGCCGGAACATGGTCGCATTCAGATTTCACATACGACGATACGCTTAAGAACTTGCCTTTGTTCGTAAGTATACAAAACAAGATTTATCTTACGCACCGGTACGAAGCTATGGAATTTTTGAGACGTAAACATTTTTTGTTTGTCGGTATTTTAAGTGGCGAAAAAATGTGTGATTTCAACACAATCATGTACAGTGTTGTAGCAAAACAAATTTCAAATACATAGATCACCGATTAATTAAATGGATGTCATTCATCGCAGTTTTATACCTATTATGTACTACTGTTATAATTATTATGTTATTCTATGGTTTATATTTTTTATCTGTATAAATTCAATCAATGCTGCTTATTGCTACCGAATTCAAATATCCATAAATGGATCGGTGATTGCTTGAAATCACAGCTTTTGTTTTGTTCCGATTTAACCGCGGTTGACGATGTTACGTGACAGTTAATTATATCTGTAACATTAGTTCTAATCCACGCCACTGCTACAAACTACTACCATCAGCGCCAAAACGGCGAAAATCAAATAGGCACAAAATATCACGTCTTATAGCCAACCCGTTTATAGAGCTTAATGTAAGTTGTGCTTAACAATTTGAATTCGAATGATTAGCTAAACATGAATTTGCCGGTATAATACTTCGTTTCTAAACGTCAAAAACAATTTAGAGATGTGTATACAATTTATTATTAACATTGTTTGTGTTTATACAAGCGTCAAGTGCCATTTAATTATTATCTAGCAGTAATTCTCTGCATGTTAACAATGGGCAGTAGATACGTAATAGTTGCGAAGTCTATTTATAATCCTGACAGATTGTCGAGCACACGCAAGATGTCCTTAGCGATTATTAACACATCCACACTCCATAGACGAGAAGTTGTATTAAATTTATGGTTGTCCAAGAAGAAACATGACTATGTCATTGTTTTGATAGTAATTCATTACATTTATTTACAGTCTTACAAAATGATTTATGAACTTTATCCGCAAATATTAAAAAAAAAAAATAATTAGTCTATGTACTATTCCTGATTGTTAACCATATATTTTCTAAACTCCATCCAAAGCTGTTTAGCAGCAGTGAGCTGGTAACAATTATACGTCAAAATATTAGTAAAAAGTGATAGGAAGAAAATCTGACTCTGTACCGGTGTACTGGCACAACACTAGTGTTATTAAAACATCGATTCTTATGTCCCCTCACTAACGCAGTTTGACACTTGACGTAGCAACTCCTTCCTAATAATACCTAATAAATACCTAAATAAATAAGATTCTAACTAATTTAAAAAAAAGTAAAATTATCAATATATCTTACCTAGAACGTTGTTTTGCATACAGACATTACATAAATGTCCTAGTTATTAAAACAATGATGACATAGACTCATCAATGCTGATCATCAAATCTGACAGCCATAACTATTTCATATGCACTAACAATGAGTTGGCGGGAACACAAAAAAGGCGCGCAAGGTTGTAACTCTTCCTACTAACTTATTTATATGGCTTGATAGAATCATCTTGAGTCTACCTGTTCGATTCCATTGCCAATGCACCTATATAAACAATATTGTCATTTGTCTAATTCTAATACATAGGCAATGATATGTTTTAATTCATGTGTCTCTGTCATGGAATTTCATGGTCACCCGACGTTGAATAGCTAACAAACAACTAGCTGTCGCCGGGGACTCTGTCCGCGCAGAATTAAAAAAAAAACTTAATTAGTAGCCTATGTGTTCTTCCAGACTATGGTCTACATCTATGCCAAATTTTCACAAGATCCATGCAACCCTTCTGAAGATCGTCGTTTCACAAACATCCATCCACTCAAACATTTGTATTTACAAAATTAAAAAGAAGTGCGACATCTATTATCGTAGTTTGAGAATTTATCTTACTATTATCTGTAGCTAAAACAGAGTATAACAAAACAGAACAAGGAAATGAGGTCGGCACACTCGTACGTCACATTATGACTCACCGACAAAGATTCAACAAGGACCTTTTGATGCAATATGCTCCACACGTTTAAATAAAAAGAAGACTGTTATGTTCTTTTCTTTTATTAAAATATCTCGTAATATCAAACTATATTCATGATGGTTTTAGGAATCTTGTGAATCCTGGGGAAAACCGTATAAACGTATTTTATACAACTTTATCTTAAATAGGTCTACATAATAACGATTGTGTTTTTGTTCTTTATCGCTCACACAGGTCACAAAGGGCATGCTTTATAATCGCCTCATATTGTTTATTAATATTTATAGCTGGAGCTAAATGAATTCTTGTTTTTTTTATAAAGTCTTTAACAACAATGTATTTAAAAAGTTCTGTACATAACACAAGTCATGAACACTTTACATTTATGTATAATGTAACAAAGAATAGTTTTTGATGGAGCTTTGTTATTATTAAGGTTTGATGAAGTATAGCAGTGGTTCCCAAACTTATTTTGTCTACTGCCCACTTTGAGAATAAATATTTTTTTAGCGCCCCCATATTTTCACATATTATAAACCACTATAACTTCAAATTAAATTAATTAATTATTGTGACCCATATATGTATATTAACGGAGAATTCTAAACAAAACTTTTACTATAACCCGCAACTTGTAACCTGCAGCGCTCACAAGGGTGCGTTATCGCCCACTTTGGGTAAGACTGAAGATTTAGACATGATAAGAAAGTTAGTTCATCTAGATAAAGAAACTTTTTTTTATAGGAGAAGGGGGCAAACGAGCAACGAATCGCCTAATATTATTTGATCCGACGCCCATGGACATCCGCAACGCCAGAGGAACCGCGGATTCGTTGCCGGCCTTTAAGGAAGGTGTACGCTCTCTACGGCCTTTAAGGGAAGTGTACGAACTCGATGAAGATAAATGTATGTACCTGTCTAGCTTATAACAATGTGTTTCTTCCTATGGTCTTATAAAGTTGTCTCATATCAAGCTCAGTCTTTTGTTTTATACACCATATATTCAATTAACTGTTCAATATCACTTTATCTAAATTGGAATTCCACAACCGAACGTATTTTCCCTTTTTTTTTCAGCCACCCGAGGTTTTTCCAACCAGATATTATTAAGCGTCATTTAAGGGAATGCAATTTACCACTTGAAATAACTTGTATAGACTTATACGAAAACAGACTTATACAAAACTAGTTGTCGCCAGCGATATCCGCGCGGAATAAATAAGTAGCCTATGTTCTACATGTGTGCCAAATTTCATCTTTTTTTTTCATTCTTAAGCTGTTTCGGTGATACGTTCAAACAAACATCCATCCATCCATCAATATTAGTAAAAAGTAAGATTAAAAGTGACAGGATGATTAATAAAGTAGTTTTATAGTCATTTTTTAAAATTGTCACCGATGGAACTTACAAAACCTGTCAGACTCTAAATGTATTTTAATTCCGTTAGGGGGAAAATCCGTCACACAAACGGCTAACACAAATTTATACAAGTTATTCACAATGACGTCATTAATTAAGACATTATCACGAGTGATGCACGCAAGTCGCAAGCAATTATTGTTTTGATGTCACGTCGTAGCATCAGCTAATCAACCTTCAGAATCCATTTATGCTAAGCTAACTTCGCAAACATTTAAAAGTATTGAGCACAGATATATGTGATATAGCTCTTACTCGTGACTTCATTTGAGCAGAATTTAAAAAAAAACGGTTGAAAAGTATTATATTGTCATGTCACTCGAGTCTATGGTCTATATATGTGTCAAATTATTAAGATGTAATATACATTTGTGGAGTTAAAAGTAAATATATAAATGAAGTGTATCCCACGGGAACCGTACACCTTCGATATTATGCCAAATATAATGGAGATGCTTTGAGCCGTTTTGGAGATAAATTCTAAGAAACATCCATCCATACATCTAAACTTTCTCATTTATAATATTAGTAAGATTTGATAAATAATAACTAATCCAAAGAATAGAAGTGGAAAGATTCAATTCATATCGTGGTCGAATCTCGACAAAAAGTTTCAAGGTTCAATTCTGACATCTGTGAATTTTTCTCGCCTAAATTGTTTCCTTGGTAACAATCAGTATGAAACCAATTATGAGCAATTAGCTCACCATCAAAATGACATAGCAGCGTAGATCGTTTAATCCAGAGCTATATGATTGTCTTACATAACCTCTCTATATCCAGACCAATCAGATAACCCCCCGATCCCCAACTGTTAAAAGGATCTGTAAAATGACTCGAATCAGCCAGCGGAATTCCCCTCTACCATATACATTATGAGAAAAAATCCCCTGCAATTCTATCGTATTCATATCGTTATAACAGTACGTTAGACAGAGATGCAAGATCAATTGTAATGTGACTAGTACAAGAGTCCCACGCATAGTACGGGGTGGATGTATGACATTTAATGAGCATTTGCGAGGCGACATCCTCAGTTCTATGCTCCAATTTTCGTATTAAATGGTTATTTTTCAATGATATAAGTAATAGTTTAATATACATTACTATAATATGGCAAATTATAAAGGAAAAGGAAACATTTTTGAATAGGGAAAACGGAAAAAATTATAGTTACCACTTAATTTTCTGTCGCTGTAGGTATAAAATGAAAACAATAGACGTGTCCACGCAAAATAATTTATAGAATATCCTTTAGTTTTTCTGCTATCTTACTAATACTATAAATACTAATATTTAGATGGATGGATTGTTTGGAGGTATCTACGGAACGGCTCAACAGATTTTAATGATATTTGGCACACATATAGAACATGGCCTGGGTGAACACATAGGCTACTTGTTATGTTTTTTTTTAATTGCGAGCGGATAGAGTCGCGAGCGACAGTTAGATAGATACACACACATTAAAGAAAAAACATGCCTTAGAGTTTGAAAGCGTGGGTTAAATGTTTTAATGAGAGATGTTTTGCCTAAAGTTGTCTATTTTGAAATTAACGTATTTTCACCTAATACAGCTTTATCCTAGCATCTTTTCACTTTTCAGTTTCCAATAACTTTGTACGTTTTTGACGTGACTATGACATGACGTGTATATGATTTATTGTTCATTTGTTTGTCCTGCATGATTCATTTACTTGCGAAATACAGACAAACAACGTTGTGAATAAACAGTGATATCATTGTCAAATATAGTTTAACATGCGAAGGATAAAAGCACCATGCTATAGTTGACCCAATATGAGGAAGACTTATCACATAAATGGCGTGCGCTGAGGAAAACTCGAGCGACAATGTGTCTACAATTAATTTCTCTTTAAGTCAAATGAAAATTAGTTAGAACACATAATAGATCTTTAAGATTTTTCGGAGCAAATTACAAAAGTTACATTTTTCAAATCGAAATTCATATTTTCTAACAATATGTTTAAACCGTAACCTTCTACAAGTCACGTAACAATTTTTGTTATTAAAATAATCGTTCATAATTTAAACAATGCAGAACTTAACCTTGAAATACGGCAAATGTACAAATTGTTGATACCGACGCGTTCAGCAAGAGACGGCTGTCAGCGGTGAGGTCATTGAAACTATTACGCCATGTTTATTAATAATCACAGCAGGTCAATGCTGTTGCAATTTTAAAAAATAAATCCAAAAATATAAAAAAATAATGGCAGTTAAGATTATAACAACAATAATTAAAGTACAGATAAATTCAGCTTGAAATTAAACGAACAATGCATACGATGACATTTCTTTTTTTAATTAGCTCGCTAATCAAATGATTAATACCCTAGTGATATTCGTAAAAAATATATGTAGGTAAATAAAATACGTAGTTATGTTAGTATTCAAAAGCGAAAGATAAGTTATAATTTCCGTAATTTCCGAACAAAACATGTCGATTGTTTCCCTACAAATGAAATCGAATAAATTCTAGCAACATCCGATCGATGCAAAATTATCGAATATCTTTGCACATGATTAGTTACGAAAACTAATTTTTGCGTAATTATTTAGAAATACAATAGCAATTTGTTTATGTTATAGTTAAGACATCTCATTATATTTTTAAATTTTTTTGAACAAATCTTACATTTCCGCTTTGATTTAAATTTTATAATGGGACTTAATATGGATATATTTAATAACATTATCAAGTAAAGTGCCGTCAGCAAATATAAAATTGACTAGTAAATTACCATGTTCATTGTCTGATCAGACTTTTGTTTGGCGTATCCTATAAAAATTGTCCTCTCAAAGCCAGAGCAGGTTTATAATTAAATATGGATCACGAGTTACAGTTAATGGCATTGAATAAAAACTGCAATCCGTTATTCGAAGCCATCCGAACGGTTGTGCAGTCGTACTTGTTTTATGTAATACAAATAGGAAAGGCATCTAGCACCTGACTAAAACAACTTATAATTCAACATAAATGAAGCAACTATTATAACTAATAAACAAGGCATTTTATAATTAGCTGTATAATATATTCCCAATATGTTTACTTTTTAAATGAACTCTTGTTTATTGTATTACGATGCGCGTCGTTGTGAATTTTAATTGATATAACCTAAGGACCACTCATCTCAAACCGACATACATAATATAAACAGTAGGACGTGCATAAAGAAGGCGTTTTAAACGTTGACCCTTTGGTGTTTCATGTAACTTCATAAAACTGTCGCGTGATTGCAACATACTAAATGCGTAATATATTGTTTGACTGTTAAGTTGTGGATGTGTAATAATAGCCCGCTAATGTTTATTTATATTTAGGCTTCAATAGGCTGTTAACATGTTTTTATATCTCACCAAAGGTTGCCAGAGATCTTGCAGATTTTTTTCCAATTTTGGTAGTTCGTCAAAATATCTTTATGTATGTCTTAAATTGACCGCTTAATGTATCCTTGAAGCTTATTTACTTGGTGAAATGAATAACAAGGAAAACAATTCACCTCTTGTAAAGAGACCAACAGTGTTCTAATATTAAATTATTTTTTAAAAACCTACGTCTATAGACGATTTTTTTCCCAAATTCCCAAGTAAATGGCTAACAGTTAATTATTTTATATCTCTTGTAAATATTGTAACAGGAACCAAAATCGCTATCACCTATAATATTAATCGAAAAGAAAAAGCCAGTTTAAATTGACAAAATAAAGATTAGCCTAATCTATGGTAGTAGATGAATATATGGTAACACTGCACACTGTTTAAAAATGGTATCAGACATTTAGGGATAGAAATTGTTTGCGAAAATAGATTTTTAGCAAATCGATATTCATATTTATATTATAATAAAAAAAATTGATTTAAGCAGCGATAGTATTCGACTTTTCATTTTCTGTTTATAAATCAATTTATTCTAGCAAAAACTGCATGCTATTCTATGTAGGATTAATAACACCGCAATATTAATAATTAAAATTCATCATAATGAAGATTAAAACAAATGAACTTAATCCTAAAGTTATGAGGTTTTTTGTATATGATTTACAGTGATTTACAAAGTTTTAAAAAACTTATCTTCCCTAGTCTATCTGTTAAAAATGGAAAAAATTATAAAATGGATTTTTTCGATTATTTTTTCCATCCCTATGACATTTTAAAACTGACATTGAATGTGACATTGACGTTTCGACGTTATTTATGTTTGGTTGGTTGTAAACTAGGCATCTCTAATGTTCTTTATTTTGTTAATTTATTTTCACTGAATTTGTATCGTCGCATGGTTATTACAACGAAAAAATGTCTGATTTCGAACAATTCGTCGAGTTCGTACAATATACGAAAAGATTTAGGAACGTAGGCGTAGGACCGAGGCGCTATTTACGTGATTATTCCGATCCATTTTCAAAATACTCGGTCGAGGAATTTCATGCTAGATATAGATTTACTCCTGATGTTGTTAAAAGTGTTATATTGCCTATGCTGGATTCTATAAGAAAACCTTCAAAAAGAGGCTTACCTTTCCCTCCAGAAATCATGTTGCTGATAACGTTACGCTATTACGCTACTGGTAGCTTTCAGGTTAGTAAATACGACACAGTTTTCGAATTCTGCATACGACTCCACATTTCTAAGTGGTAGAATCTGTAGCAGCATTAGCTGTTGCGCAAATGGCTTGTGCATTCGATATAGTACTATAACCACACATAAGACAGACATGACTTAACCAGTTGACCTTGTGCCTGTGCCTTCTTGATTTAATTAAGGTATAAGATGTTTAATAATGTCTAGTTAGAAGATATGTAGCACATATCTTTTTTTCCAGAAAATGCAAAAAGATGTCATGAATATATGCCAACAGTCAGTTTCTAGGATTATTGTCCAAGTTTCCAACTTAATAGCAACAAAAATGAAAAAGTATGTTAAATTTCCAACAGATACGGAAGAACTTAATATGGTGAAGTAAGCTTCATTTTAATATGAATTATATAAAAATAGGGAAGAGAAAGTACAGGTACATTTATTTGTTTTGTTTTTATTGCAGGCAAAAGTTTTACGAAATCAACCATTTTCCTGAAGTAATTGGCTGTGTTGACTGTACACAAATAAAAATAAGAAGTCCTGGTGGGGAAACTTCTGACGTATACAAGAATAGAAAAGGATTTTACTCCATCAATGTACAGACAGTTGTTGGGCCAAATTTAGAATTTTTTAACTTAGTAGCCCGCTGGCCGGGAAGCACACCTGATAGTTTTATTTACAATAACAGTTCTATTAAACAGAGGCTTGATACGGGTGAGTTGGAAGGGGTAATTTTAGGTGACAGTGATTTTGCAGCAAGTAATACCCTTCTTACACCCTTTTTGTCTCCAAATTCAATACCCCAGGAACAATATAATAAAAGTCTCTATGAAACACGAAAACTTGTAGAACATTGTCTTGGTATTTGGAAGGGTAGATTTCCTTGTTTACAAGTGGGTATGTGCATCAAGGTGGAAACCGTTGTGGCTGTGATATGTGCGTGTGCAGCATTGCACAATATAGCCGTGTCCGTGGGTGATGTAGCACCAACAAATTGGGAAATGGCTGAAATTGACACTGACGTTGACTTCACTACAACTAATGAACACCCAAATAGTGAAGGTTTTGTGGCAAGACAATTATTTGTAGATAGGTATTTCCAGAATTATTAAAACATAATTATAGTTAATAATGTTTTAATAATTCTGTCATTAGAGTGTCCGTGGCTCAGGGGTTAAGCTCTAGACTTGGTATTTGCACGTCTTTGGTTCGAATCTCGCCATGTACCAATTTTATCATCATGACATTTATCCACAACCTGCAAATTTTGTGAGAAGAGAATTATGGATATGTGTGAAGTCAACCAACTCGCACTAGACCAGCATGGTTGACTATGGCCTTGTCACCCCTAACTCAGGGTAGACTCTGTGTCCCTCAGTGGGGATGTAAAGTGAGCTGACAATGAAATTATAGTTAAGTTAAAAATTACTGCCATAACCAGTTGTTCTTTAATTTAGTTTTAAGTAGATATAAGTGATTGAATATGTTATTTAATAGTACATCCGGAATACATCATTTGTGTAAGGAAATTATTGAAATGTACAGCGGTGCTTTATCAAAACCATATCTCTATGGCCTTTATGTAAATGTACATAAAAATAATAAATATTTTAAACGTTTTTCTCAAACACCTTTAAGCTCATTAAATCGACATCACTATCATCGACGACATCGACAATTTATGCATAACCTACACTGTGGGTATAGCACGAATATTTTTTTTTATATCATAAGGTGGCAAACGAACGAGCGGCCACCTGATATCGCTGAAATAGCGAAGTGACCGTAGCCTACCTTTAATTGACGAAGGAGAGGATGCACAGAGAAAAATATATTCCCTTCCCATGCATTCTCTCATCCGGAAAGTCCACTTCCACTTCCCATCCTTTCCTTATAAGAAAAAAGGGTGTGAAGGGAAAGAGGACTAAATTAGGCCTCCGGGACGCACACTCATCAGAGGAAACGCGGAATTGCTTCCACTTCACGCCTGTATGAAACAATCCCCTTTGTATCGACAATTATGTCAAAATTAGTATGAGATTTTTGGTGTATTTTACTCCCGATTTATTGCGATTCGCCAATTTTTCGATACGTAGGCGATGTCACAAATATTGGTGCTAGAGCCACAAATGTTAGCTTACAATGTCATCAGTGAATCAATAGGTCAGTAGTGAAATGGATAATATTGCTAATATCATTTTGTTTGCGTGCTTACGAAGGTTGAACACATATTTGGTACTCAAGAGTCGAGCATTTGTTTCCCGCCATAACCTAAAATTATGTTGAGCGCGGCGTCCTATGTTAAATGTAAAATCTTAAGCGAATGTTAATTTGAGGTGGCTCTGCGAACAAGTAACATTCTATCCCATAAGCCTAAGTTTTTCAACCTTTTTCGTCACTTATATAAGACCCGTATACCAAAGGCGGCTGCCAAAAAAATGCCTCGGTGCAGTATCTTAGTAGTAACAATACTGTCACCATGTTTGCTGATGGCGTGACCTTAAGCTTGTATGATAGAAGTTGTGGCTATATTGAGTAAATAATTTAAAGGATAATGAGGAAATGACTTGCTCTACTGTGGTGCAGAATGGATTTCGCTAATTTTACTAATATTATAAATGCGAATGGATGATGGATGTTTGTTAGAAAGTATCAGCAAAACGGCTGCATGGATCTCGCTGAAATTTGGCGTATATGTAAAACATATTCTGGAAAAACACATAAGTCAAATAAGTTTTTTTTTAATTCCGCGCAAATATAGTTGCGGATGACGGCAAGTAAGCTATACGTTCTGACCTGCAATATAGAAGCCGTGAGCGCTGTCATAGCAACCAGCAACAATTGATCCTTGGTATACTGGTGTAGCTGCTTCCCGCAGCCGCGCTGGTAGAGGGTAGTACAATCTGCTGTGTAGGGCTTGTGTAGTGAATCCAACGGACCCTGGCCGCAGCAGGAGAACGGCACGTGTTTGGATGCCGAGTAGTCACCAGGGCCACTGATGCCACAGCATTCAAACTGTGGGATATTGTTAGCATATCGCTTTTACTTTCATTTCAATTTTGATTAGAATTTTTCTCCAATTCGAAGTTACTAATTGCCTTATTACCAACTCCAGACTGGCGTTGATAGTTTTTTTTAGTTTTAAATTGATTTTCCTTATCTACGTATTCAATTTGAATTCTTTTCTTACCTGAACATGCAATTTATCCCATCGCAACGAATCCACAGAATTAGGGTCCTCAATTTTACTGGTAAGCATAAAGTAGTTGGTCATTGTGCTCCTTATGTCGATTTCTACATTATCCCACACAACCATCGCCCAAACGAAGCAGGAAAACTCAACGACTACCACAATAACGATCAGTAGGCCAGCCTGAAAAACGTAACATAGTCCTAATTTAACTTGGTTATTCCATAATAAAAATGATAAAAGCAATGGGCATTGATGTTTTTAAGTTTTTAAAACTCAATATAATTTTGTAAATTATTAAGTAGGTAACATGTTTTAGAAAATTATGATAATTATAATTTTTCTATGAAAGAAGTGCTTGTGACTGTTCGAAGGGTGTAAAATATCGATAAGAGATGGCGCTTATCACAACTTAGATAGCTCGAGATTCGATTTACTTCTGATAGGTATTATGTAAATCTACTCCTAAAAAGGTAATATAAAGGAGGGAATCCTTATATAGCTCAAATAATTTTGAGAAAATAAATTAATATACCATAACGACGTGAAACTGATGCATAGATTTTGCAGATCGCCATCCAATCCATGCTACAGAACATGTAATGATTGCGATCATCAATAGTAATATGGCTGGATACTCTACATTTACTGGGATAAAGTGCCGGTAAATAAACAGGCGATATACGAGAAATCCACTAACTCCAAACAGCGCCACTGCCGACATCTGTTGACAAAAATTAAAACACTTCAGAAGTCATATTATACGACCAAATTATATAGGTTCCTGAATACTATTACATATTGCAACTTCTCTGTCATGCTTTGGACAACTGCACAAGTGCGACAAGGATGGCAATAACATAGCACACGGTATACGATTTGGTCTCTTGCCAGTTCAATTTAGTTAGCTCATTTCAGAATTAGAAAAACTAGGTGACAAAAGAAGACAGGTACTTTTTATCGCATAATTTAAAATCTTAAGTTGAACGTAAAATAGTAACTTTAAAATTAACCTATAGTCACAGAAAGTAAACACATAAAAGTTGTTTGTATAGAGTTGTTATGACAACAAAGAATCACTGATTAAGATTAACGTGGTTCTTATAAATGAGCATGTTAAAAAAAATCAATTATAATACTTACAGCGAATAAAACGTTGAAGGTTAGTACAAGATATTTCCAACAATTCGAGGACAGAGCCATTTTCAGTGTTCATATGTCAAGTAAAGTTTGAAACTCGTCTCAAAACAAAGGCAGGTCGTTCCACCTCAGGGAATGTTTGTGTTTCGCTGCGTCCGCGTAACTGCAGCGGCGGCGCGGTCACAATTAAACAACCGGCATCTATCCGTTCATCATAATCTTTAGCGAATTGTATTAAAAATGTTTTTTTTTTTAAGTGGACGATACAATCGCTATTTCTTGTAAATGATTAATCCAGCATGATGTGTGCAGTCACTTATCAGTTTATCATTGCGATAAACTTTGTTATATACAGTATCATGCAATCTAACCTCATTTACCAATCCATATCACCATATGATTTTACTTTCTTTGACACTTCGGGCGTAGGCGCGTCGGTTATATATAACTTTGACAAATCTATTTTAAATGCTCTCATTACTAGAATTACGTCACACTTTGTGACTTTTTCACTTCAACACTTATGAATGTTTACCGAACCACGACTGTGAGCAAGATAATCGTAGATAGTGAATTTAAGTTTAGGTTTGTCAGAGGTCAATGCTACTTGACCCTTTAGCCGCGACACTTCGCTATTAGTAAGCCGGATGGCTCAAGTTTCATAGAAGTGGGTGTTTTTTTAATCAATACAAGATTCCCGGGTTCATTTCCTGTCTCCTCAAAATAATTATGCAAAAAGTAGTTATCAAAAAAATTGAATATCACAGGATTTATATTGTAAATCTCTATCTGACAGTCATCAGACCGACATTGCTAATAAAAATAATAAATTAACGCATTGAAGTCTTCAACCCTTCATCTTTAGTGATATAACTTGATAAGCTATTACTATGTATGTCTTTTAATGTACGTTACATTAAAAGACATACATACTGAAAGCTACGAACCATTTTAATTAGCACTAAATATGTCTCTCACGATGAACAAAGCTACTTGATTCTCTTCAGTTTTTTAACCTAGCGTGTGTAATTACAAGTCAGTTTAATTAGTGCTACCTACTGGAGAAACTTATGTTAAAGGTCAAGCTCTATTGCGCAACTAGTTAAGAATTTTTAGTTTGTGGTTCCCTTATTTTTCTACTTATGACTAATCAATGAAATGAATAAATTATGTAAAGTATGTACCAATTTAAGAATCTTTATTTTACGATAAAATTAAAAAAAGCTAACAAATTCGACATATTGAAGAATATGCTAACAATAAAAATAAACTTCCATTAATAATAATCGCAGAGACACAAATCTTTGGCCATTATCTCCGGCAACAATTCAACTTTTACTACTTTTTTCACCTTCTCTATCTCAGCAACGATATCTGCACTGACTGGTCCTGCTTCTTTTGCAGTACGAAACAATGCCCTGGCTTTATCAACGTCCCTTTTATACATGGCCAGTAATGCCAAAAACGCCCAACCATCAGACAAAAGAGGTTCAGCTTTCACAGCAGCTGCAGCCCAACGTTCAGCTAACTTTTCCTCCCTCAATTTCCCGTAAATTCTTCCCAAAGTTAATGCTGTATACGCCGATGGAGCAATTTTATGCGCTCGGGCAGCTCTTTGCAAGGAAGCCATTATGTCGGTCTTCCAACCGCCTATCGCTGCTCGGAGAAGTAAGCCGGGGCAAGGCTCAGCCCCGTCGTTATTAGCTTCTAACAAAGCTTTTTCACATTTACCATCCCACCCTCTAGCAAAGCCCAAGCAAGTTGCTCGTATTTGAGAAAGTATAGCGCAGGGTCCGAACAGCCGTATGCCTTTCTCGACGACCTCCAGCGCAACATCCATATGAAGCCGCAAAAGAAGAGAAGCTGCTCTTACATAATAAGTACCGGGGCCTGGTTTCTCTTTTGTGATATTTTGTGTACCACGTTCATAGCACCCATCTTCAACACATTGGAGAATTCTTTCAGTCAGTTTAAAGCACCGTAAACATAAAAAGAAAGCTGCAGCGATCAAGAAAGGATTTCGAGAATCTATAACACCAGGAATCCAAAATGTTTCTTCTTCTCCACTAGAATCTATCCATCTTTTCAAGCATCGCTTCCACTCTACGGGTAGTGCAAAACATTTCCTCATCTTTTTAAGTGCAACGAAAGCTGGGTGCTCGTTACCGTGGTAATGATGTAACGCGTGCAGTGCGGCCCACCCGATGGCGCTGGTGGTGCCATCCGATTTATCGCCTTTAACTGCGATACGAAAAGCGGCTGTTGCTACTTCAATTGCTTCAGGTCCTTTATCAAACTGAATGCCTCCGTATGTCCACAACAAATATCTGTTTTTGGAATGAACATTTAAAGCTACCGTTAAATAATTATATGCATCAGATTCATTTCTCTGTTCAAGCAAACGCAAAACTTTTGACAAAAGAACCCGGGGATGATTTGGGCTAATTTTCAGGTTTCTTTCGATATGCTCGTTTGATATTCTAGCATCTCCTGCGGCCCGACTTCTAGAAGCAGCTAGTCCGGGCGATGGACGAACCTTAGGGGGCTGAGGAGCAAACGAAGAAGTTACTGCTCGACGAGCTGCTGAATGTTGACTTGTTATCGTATCTTGATAATCCATCTCGGAACATTCCGTCGGTGTAAATTGTTTTAGCATCGACCTCACCCGCAATAATAGACGGTTTGCGGCTGTTCGTTTTATACTCTTATTCATTTGAAGCGTGCATTTGTAAGCTAAATTACTTAGCTCCTTGTGCACCAACAACGCCCCACTTTCTTTACAAATACGTCTCTTGTCTAAAGGTGGCTCCTCTGGGGGAGATAATATTTTCAACGAATCTTCGGCTACTTTAAGACCAGTAGGAGGAGGAAAACCGATTAAATCAAAAAGCGAAGTAATTTTTGCTTTTGGAACTATTGGATCAATTAAATCCATTCTTATTACAATGAAAGCTTCGTGACCATACTCATCAGTTACAGGTTCATTTTCATGTGCGGGACCTCGCGCGCTGGTTGGCGGTAAATCTAAAATTGTACCTACAGATTCAGGTATAATATCGGCACTATAAAACATCAGTTTCGCACAGACGGTTACACCGAATTGACCAGGCTGAAGTAAAACACCAGCATCTACAACCGCAACGTATCGACCTCGTACTTCAATTTTCCCACCTTTCGGAACTCCAGCGATCTCAACATTGAAATTACTATTTAATCGTTCTTGTAATAATGTAGAATCCACCAGAACACGCCGCATAGCATTCCAATACACCGAATTTTCGGATTTATCAATAATCAAGTCATTAGGGACAAACATGTCTTCACTTGGCACATTAATCTGTGTATCGGCGGCGTGACCTGCATTGCTGGCGTTCCCCCATACAATTTTCGTAGCTGAAGACGCGCTCAATGACATACCAAATTTTAAAGATATTGGATCATGTATCATGTCGAGACCAATGCCACTGAGAAAGGCTGTACCTTCTCTCGATGATGGTAAGCAATGTGCTGCAATCATCGTTAGCGTTAAAGGTATTTTATCATTATTTATAGAACCGTTGTAGCTTACGTGTACGTTAACTGTACAACCGGACGGAGCACCGGAATGTATTATCAGAAGCGGTACTTTTACAATTACCTCTTTCTCCCCTAATGCTATTGGATATAAGTCTACATTTCCACCTGCTCTATTATCAATATTAAGAAAGGGGTCCTGGTCTTTTGAAGGTTTTCCTGAACTTCCTCGAAGTAAAAATATTAGTGGCCGGTCGGCAATAATCTCTTGATCAGTTCCGGTTTCTTCTATATTTAATGGTAAGACAATCGTATCAATTGTGTGACCGTCTTCCCATTTTTCTCCCAGTAAAAATTCATCATCGAAATATATTAAGAACGTACAATCACCAGGACCCGGACTTTCACCTTCTAAATACAGAGTAAAGGTCACTAAGCGTAAATCTAGGTCATAATCATCAAAATCGGTTGACCTAGACTTGAAAGTTTCACGCGACTTATTCTTCTTTGTACCTTTTCCTGACATTTTCAATATTTTTAAATTAATATAGTTCACATTTACTTCCTGTGTTTTAAATAAAGCAACAAAATAAAATAGTATGATATTAAATATACCTTCATTTTTTACATTAATGTTTTATTATGAAATGAATAAAAGTATTTAATTACAGTATAAATTAACACAATCTGTCATATTGACCGTGTCTTACGAAATTATTGTCTTTTCAAAGAAAAAATAAATATATTCCATCAAGCCTTATAATGGGGAACATTTCACAATGATGTATTTGATAAAAATTGAGATAATATTTAGTATTCACCATTTTCTAAGTAAAGGATATCGAGTTAAGAAATTCAAATAAAGCGACGTGGGCGATGGAGCATCCTTAACCAACGAGGAAGTATCCACAGATATACATCTGCTAATGTAAGAGTCTAGCACCGTGCTAGTCCTCCTGGTCTGTGTTGAAGAGAAATCCGTAAGCGCTGTCTAGCCCTTTGGGCCTTTTAATTTCAACTTTAATACAATGTCTGTACTTAAAGACCATAGACTCATAAGTTCATTACTCATTGTCTGTGGCATGATAATTGACAAACAACTGACAAGTGACAATGACGTATGACGTCTACATACTTTTTATTTGACATTTATTTATTTGTTGTTGTAAAGTTATAAAGTTACTAAAATAAAATGTTATAAAATGTATACACTTTTACATGGACTTTACAAGTATATGGTACAAAAAGACGAATACTGTGTGTTGATTTTAGGGCTCGATAATGCTGGTAAAACGGTAATGTGATAATATTTTTACACCACATTACAAGCTTCTGCAACATTTTACAGCTTTTTTGCAAATCAAATTAATAATTTAAACTCAATCATTTTTTACAGACATATTTGGAGGCAACTAAAACGAAATATACTAAAAAATATAAAGCTATGAATCCAAATAGAATCACAACAACTGTAGGATTAAACATAGGCAAAATAGACGTCGATGCCGTAAGACTTAGTTTTTGGGATCTCGGTGGGCAGCAAGAACTACAATCTCTATGGGATAAGGTACTTTATATTACTAAGCCATAAACCAGTCAATCTATACACATTTAAAATTAAACTATGCCTTTCCTTAGCTTTCTAAGGAAAGACATAGTTATTTTCTTAACTTATACTTCTCTTTCTATTGTCAGGCCTGAGCCTTTTATTATAAAAAATACTACACATTTAGCCATTTTAAATTATTGTTTTTGGTTATGCTTTAAAAATTGGTACATAAATATGTTTCCATATTATTTTCCTTGGCTATGGTAGGTAGAGAAATATTATTGTAAATTTATCTACCTACTATAGCCAAGTTCAACAAGTTATTTCACTACAAGTATGTTACTGAAACATCTTTGTATTATTTCAGTATTATGCGGAATGTCATGCAGTTATTTATATAGTTGATTCTTCTGATAGGGAAAGAATTTCAGAATCAAAAGAAACATTTGGTAAGTCTAGTTATGTAATTTTTTTTTCATTCCTTCAGAAATAAATTAGACTTGCAAAGTACATTAACTAAAGTTACTATTATTGCTTATCTTTCATGTTGTTGATATAAATTAATTTCATGTTATATTGATAACACAAAAAAGGTTTTAAAACTTTATTTTACACAGATTTCCTTTTTTATAAGCAATAATAATAATATATGTCACTTAATATATCCACCATAGAAAGTGAACTTCAATTATTTTTTAAGAATGTTAACTAATTCTTTTTACTTTTCAGATAAAATGATTGCTTCAGAGCATTTATCAGGAGTTCCATTGTTGGTGCTAGCAAATAAACAAGATATACCAGACTGTATGGGTGTACACACAGTCAAACCTATTTTTAATCAGAATGCACACCTTATTGGCGCAAGAGACATTATGCTAATGGCAACCTCTGCCTTAACAGGGTAATTAATTTATTTAATTAATACTTGAACAATTTTAATTTAGTTTAATGATCACATTAAGATAATAAGTAACAAGAGCTCATTTTTTTTTTTTGTGTAATTGTGTGCTTTCCAAGTGTTTAATGTGAAAAAGTTTTTTTTTATAGGGATGGAGTAGATGAAGGCATCAGATGGTTGGTTGATTGCATAAAAAGAAATAGCGTCGACAGGCCCCCGCGCAACCATGACGACAAGTTATAAGCCGATAACGACACCTCCATTAAATATTGCGTTCACACTTACATATACACAGAATAATAATGAGTTTTCCTATTAAGATAATGTGACGCGATCCATTGTTTTGTACATACTGTATTGACATTTGAAAATAAAACATTAATAGAACCGTGTCTATATTGCTGTCCTTTTCCAGTGATAAATTGTATTTTTGATAAGAGATACGTAATTACTGGATATTTGAGGAGTACCTGCACCTGATAAAACACCTCTGATAACAGTACAGTTTGCACTGTATGTGTATTGTGAACTACTGTGTCGTACTGAAATGTTGAGTGATATTTAATTTTGCGTGTTTAAAGCAAATATGGCTTATCCAATGTATGAAGTTGATTGGAGTGTTTTACCGCCAGAACAAAATAGAAGGTGAGCAAAATACAAAAAATAATAATATCTGCGTGACATGGTTTAAGGTAGAAAGTGAATTAAATACATAATAGCCCATTTATTGATATAAGGGTATAATGAAAAAGTAAATAAGAAATAAAATAATTTATCGAAATGTTTCCACGTAGTAGTCTTTTCAAATATGTACAAAATACTGTTGTCAAGTATACCACAAGTCATTACAAGAACTATTCAAAAAAAATCATCACATTTTAATATTCGATTCTTTAAGTTATTGTAATTTTTACATTTTTCATTTTAAAATTAATTTTTATGTGCATTTATTTTACATAGTTAATACAAGTTAAAAAAAAACTCAACGTCACGTATGAATGTGGGAGCGAGTTGGATGCGAGTCATGTCATGTCGGTCGGCCATGTTGAATTTCTTGCAACGCAGGAAATGTCAGCTGGCGGTTGCCGTATTAATTCTTTGTAAAATCTGTGATAAAAGATTTGCCGGTACATTTTCTGTGATACGCGATCAAACACACAACAATCCGCAGATGTTTCGACCTAGTTGAGATTGAAGTGAAAATATGACATTAGTATATCGGTGGTGGCATGCGATTTCTCTTGAATTTTTGTGGTCTGTTACGAGATGAAATTCCTGAAAGCCTAACAGCACACAAGTGAAAGTTTCCTTTTATGTTATGTTTTAAGTGTATGTTTGTTATTACTCTATTGGAATCAAGAGTTTGGTTATATCGAGTTGGTGCATCCTTCAGAACATCTCGCAGTGAAAAAGTTTTGGTTGTGGATCTTCTGGCTGTTACTTCTGAGGTTTAAAACATAACAACATGAACGGCTCAGAATCCGGGTAATTTTTTTAACTTGTATTAAATATTCAAATTACAGTAGAACTTCTTACCTAACAAACTATAATTACATCACGAAATTGCTAAATAAGTAAGAAATAAGTAATAAAGTTCTAAATAGATATGCTCTATAGTGTTGTATGATTTTTCAATGAAAAGCAAATGTGTACCCTGCATGAAAAGTTGCAGTAAACATCCATCCTTTAGGTGAACATTTTGTTTTATAAATATTACAAACCATGTAACATGCATAAATAAATAGATAATTTTTGAGGCATTTAATAGTAATAACCTCCAAAAAATTTCTACTTAATATTTTAATATCACACCACATATGTTTCATGACAAGACCATGATGTCTAACACAGACAAATAACCCAATCATAGTTTTGGAGAAATTTTCGTTAATTGATAAACATGACTTACTTAACTTAAAGTCCTATGTCCCCTTAGTGGGGCAGAGGGAGTCCACAGTGCATTCTACTGTGTTCGTTTCTCGTTTTTGTGATGAACATAAACATAATAAAATTACATCATATAATAAATGCGTGAGACAAGTTTTTTATAGAATTCCTGAAATTAAATATGTACAGGAAAGGTTATTGTGAGAATTGATTACCTCAGAATTATGACAAGGTAGTTAATCTAGTTTTGAGATAGTTTTCCTCAATTATCTAAATTGTGTATTTAACAAGAAATAATGTAAGCTGTGACTTATACAGTGGCACACAATATGCCATGTAATAAACAATATATTTATTTAACCATTTGTTAATTTTAAAAAATACTCCCTGCCTTATGACACTCATAGGAAGACTATAAATCAATTGACACTTCACTTGTCAATTCCGAGAAACTCAGGCAAGAGAGAAATCTCTATAAGGGAGAAAAATATCACAGTAATTTGGAATCTAGCTTATTTGGGTTCGTGTTTGCTTAACAATAAACAGATATATTACATCACTTGATCATAATATACATGTTTATATTGAGAAACAGTAATAATATTGTTAAAAAATAGGGCATGATATATGTTAAATGCCAACCTTTCTTAGGTAAAAGTCAAAGATAGAAATACCATTATAGTTATAAATTTGTAGACCTTTAAAACAAAAGTCACCTTAAGGTCAAATTATAATTATTATTAGGTAAAATGAAAACAAAGTGTCTTAATATTAACCAATATTTATGAATATTTCATTTGCTTAGGGTTATTAAATTATTCAAACTTTTGTGAGACATTATACTAAACTGAAACACTACTAAACGGCTAAACACTCACATAAATTCGTCCGGTGGCGGCACCAACTAGTTTCGAGCCCATGGGGGGCCCTTCATCAGGATGAGTGGTACTGGTATTATTTCGCGGACACACTGAGATTTTTCGTTTCATTGAGAGTGAGCGACGGGCCGCGAATATACGTGAGTGTTTAGCCATTTAGTAGTGTTTTCAGATTTGCTTATGGTTATTCAACATTTCCAAGAACAATTCATTGATACTTGCATGATTTTATTATAATTTGATAAGTTTTAAAAATAAAGAAAGAGCTGTCACCCATGACTATCCGCGAGGTATTAAACAAAACTTAATTAGTAGTCTATGTGTTCTAGACTATGTTCTACATCTATGCCAAATTTAAGCGAGATCCATACAGGCGCAGATACCTTCAAACATCCCTCCTTCCGTCCATCCATACATTCACATTTATAATAATAATAAGATATTGTTATAATATGTATTTAGAATATTAGAGGATATTTTCTTTCTGTGCATCCTCTCCTCCATCGATTAAAGGTAGGCAACGCATATGAAATTGCGTATGTCTATGGGCAGCAGTCACTTCACTATTTCAGCGATTTCAGGTAGCCGCTCGCTCGTTTGCCACCTTTTGATATAAAAAAATATAAATATAATTTGTTGCAGGTTTAACCCGGCATTCAATATCGCTACCATAAAACAAGTGGTAAATGAGGCTATTGAAAGAGGTGAGCACTATTTTAATTGTGCTAAATATTTATATAACTAGATATTATGTGATGTAACCAGGTAAATAAAAATTATAAGTACATGGATCCTGATATTTGAAAAATTGAATTTGGTCAAGTAATTTTTATCTTTCTAATATAAATGCTTTTGGGTTATTGGTATGGTGTTTTGGGTATATTCTACTTTTAATGAGAAGTAGTTTTAGAAATTTGTTAGTAGCTAACAGTAGCTCAGCTATGGTTAAAGTCTGCTTTCTGGTGATAAATTATTTCATTAAATTAATGCAAAAGCTTTTCTGGGTATTGGAATCTAATAACAATATTATCTTTCAACAATTTTTTTTAAAACATTTTATGAACTAATGCATTTGTAGTGATAATTGCTTCTGGCCAATAGCGTAGGTCTTATTGGTAAAACAAAAAGGGTATATACCAATACACCCATCATAATTTTCACCATAATTTTCTCTGAAATGACAAATAATTTAGCTTTTTTAATACTGTTTTCTTTTTTTTGATAATAAACAAATTCTGCACTTTCATGCAAAAAGTTTTCATCACAGGCCTAATTGATGATAGTGACAATTTTATGAAATATACATACATAGTATTAGCCAATATACTATTATTTGTCACTGTAGGAAATATTACAAAAAAAAAATAATAGCGCTTCTGGCTGACTAACACACTTCACGCTTTTTATATTAACATATTATAACAAATGCACTGATTATTGCTTTCTGTGTGTGTGTCGTGTAAACAGTCGCACCGGTTTCAGTGCGAATGCCAACGCCCACTCGGCTTCGGGACCTCATCAGACAGATCCGAGCAGCGAGAACAGCGGCAGAGGAACGAAGTGTTGTTAACAAGGAGTGTGCATACATCAGATCGACGTTCAGAGAAGAGGACAGTGTTTGGAGGTAGAGAATTATGTGGATAACTTTAAAACTTTGTCTAGAATAAAAAGTTGAGCTCCCACCACTATATTCAAAGCTAATATTACCGTATCACAATCTAAAGAAGGAAAATGGCGCTTAACAAAATATTTCTTCCAATTCGGTTTTACCATACATCCCTACATGCATAAATCATGCTGTATAAAAGCTGTAACTCTGTCCCTGCTTAAATAACCAAAGACTGCTTAAGACCTCTTTTCCACTCAACGACAATAAAACTGGTATATTACTTATATAAAAAGCAATCCGTAAACTCTAATTAACTTTTCTTGGAATCTCTTTAATATTCCATATAGAGGGTGTTTAATTATGTTCATTTGTATACAGATGTCGGAACATTGCGAAACTCTTGTACATCCACATGCTTGGGTACCCGGCACACTTTGGTCAGCTGGAGTGTCTCAAGCTGATCGCCAGTCCACGCTTCACGGACAAGCGCGTTGGTTACCTAGGCGCTATGTTGCTGCTGGATGAACGGCAAGACGTACATCTACTTATTACTAATTGCTTAAAGAAGTAAGTATAATAAAAAAATACTCTATACTAATCAAATTAATATTATAATAGGGAACGAAATTTACGAATTTGAAATAATTTTCCCAATTTGTTCACGTGATATCGTCGATTCTATGTTGCATTGCCAATTTCGCGCGATTCGAAATAAATGTTTTTTTTTTCTAATGTTAATTGAGAGGATTAGCCGTATTCAATTCCTAATACTCTATTTACGGCGTTCAATTACAAATGGCCTATACATTCACAGTATAGTAACGATTATTCTCTACAGTATTAAAACTATTTTGTCAACGTTCGTCTCTTTGCCATACGAATCCATACAACTTCCTCTGTTTAGGTTAATCTATGATTATTACTTTATTCCTACTACTAAAAGTAGTTAGGAGTTAAAAAAAAGTAGTTAAGTAGTAAACTAGTAGTTTTTTAGAGTTCCGTACCTCATAGGAAAAAAACGGAACCCTTATAGGATCACTTTGTTGGTCGTCCATCCGTCTGTCAAGACCTTATTTTACAATGGTATGGAAAGTCGTTCGTACATTTGAGTTATCTTAAACGCATTGTGTTTTCGCGTATTTGGATCTGTCGTTTGTTGTAATTACGTAACGTTACTAGGACGTCAACGCAAATGGAATAATTCTTTTTTGCGTTACCAAGTTCCAGATATGGCAAGTAAATTTACATAAGCTTACCGAGTGTTTGTTTCTTCAATGACAATAACCAATTACGTGTCACTGACACGCCTCTTTTGTTATCACTGTACGTTTAATTATTTCTTTTACCGTTTGTTTCTGAGACCAACATCCTTTTCGAAACCTTTGGCAGTGGTAGAGCCCGCTTTAACTTTTTCGCACGAATTGTCCCGGCTCTTCCGGTGAAATACCACGACTACACAGAAGACAGGCGTGAAGTAGAAGCAATTCCGCGTTTCGTCTAATGAGTGTGCGTCCCGGAGACCTAATTTAGTCCTCTTTCCCTTCCCACCCTTTTTCTTACAAGTAAAAGATGGGAAGTAGAAGTGGACTTTCCTGATGAGAGGATGCATGGAAAGGGAAAATATTTTCTTTCTGTGCATCCTCTCCTCCGTCGATTAAAGGTAGGCAACGCATATGCAATATCGTATGTCTAGGGGCAATGACAATGGAAACTCACAGTATTAATGTAAATATGCATAACAGCAGGTGGTTATTATTTTTTTATCAATGACTGAAGCACAATGACATAGAGTCAAAGATCAATCAGATTCATACCTCGAGACAGACCGCATCTAATAATTGACACTTAAATTAATCGATACTTAGTTACTGATTTAAATATAACTAACGTTCGATAAAAATATAATTATTTCGTATGTTTACGATGCAAATATTAGATCGTTCCTCGTTTTTAAACTTTAAGGATAATGAAGAAAACACTTATTCAAAAAATATTCACATGTTCGAAATAAAAACATAAACGTAAATATATTTTTAAAATCTCTTCTATATGTTGAAGATTATACGTAGTTACGTTGGCCTCAAAAGGTTTAATACTGTAATATAACTGTACTGGGGAATATTAAATATTTATACAATAGAATTATAAACGAGCCAGCAGAATAGTGACTCGAAACTCAATTGTTATATGTACTTAATTTGACTTGGCTCAATTTCTAAGCGTTCAAAAGAAGCTTTATTCAATATTGCATTATATGTTTTTATTGAAACATCTTTTTTTTATATCATAAGGTGGCAAACGAGCGAACGGCCACCTGAAATCGCTGAAATAGCGAAGTGCCCATAGACATACGCAATTGCGTATGCGTTGCCTACCTTTAATCGACGGGGGAGAGGATGCACAGAAAGATAATATTTTCACTTCCCATGCATCCTCTCATCCGGAAATTCCACTTCCACTTCCTATCCTTTCCTTATTAGAAAAAGAGTGGGAAGGGAACGAGGACTAAATTAGGCCTCCAAGACGCACTTTCATCAGACCGTACGAGGAATTGCTTCCTCTTGACGCCTGTCGTCTGTGTGGTCACCGGGCGAGCCGGTCCAATTCGTGCGAAGATGTTAAAGCGAGCTCTACCACTGTTAAGGAGAGACCTAAAAACAATCCCGTGAAAGGTGACGTTACATTACGAACCGACATAATAGTGCCATCGACACCAGACAAGTACACTTTCATATAAAAATCGTAGTGACATAGAATATGTTAGTTATTTACTTGTTCTTTGTACAGTGATTTAAATAGCAACACCCAGTTCGTAGTCGGTTTGGCGTTATGCACGCTCGGTGCTATCGCCTCGCCGGAGATGGCGAGGGACCTCGCCTCCGAAGTGGAGAGACTCATTAAATCGCCTAACGCCTACATCAAGAAGAAAGCTGCCTTATGCGCCTTCAGGATCATTAGAAGAGTGCCAGATTTAATGGAAATGTTTCTACCAGCCACAAGAAGTCTGTTGACTGAGAAAAATCATGGTAAGTGAGATTTTAATAATAACAAATTGGTTAAAATTTCAAATATAGATAAGTTTTCTTTCTTCACATAATACTATAGTAGTATATTTATTTATAAAGCTTTTTTTTCTTGACCCTTAGTAGCCTAGAGTTTTAATTTTGATACCAATCTTTTAAACCGAATGTTCACATTACTATTAGTTTTTTTTATAGGTTGACTGTACCTATTTTACTGCTGTATTGTATTCTTTCCAACGAAATTAAAAAAAAAATTGTTGTTTTATTTCATCAAGGAAACACAGTCATATTAAAAATAAATCACTTATGTAAATCAGGCTACTAATGGTTAAGATAGAAAACAGATAAAAGAAAACAAATTATATTCCACCATTTCTTTGTAGCAACAACGTACAAATAAAAATCGAACAGTATAAAGTGCGTTGACAATCGTAAAAAGTGCGTGGGATATAATGTATTAGGACATGTCTGTTATAAGAAATTCTAAGATGTATCTCGAGATAGTAAAAGAATAATAAAGAATTAATCAAACATTATCTGACCTATCAAATAAATCTGAATCAATGTCACGCGATTTAATATTTCATTTAAATATCACTCTTAATAATATGTAGTTAAAGTTTAAAATTGTATAAGTAGCGTATGTTGTATAAAATGGCCACAATTGATGTGTGAAGAGCGTTGCGGTCTGTTTACCTTGTAAATGGATGACTCGAAGTCCCCTTTTGAATTACATCTCGTATAAAGTGACAACGTTCTAACCTATTTTATTGCGATTTTATTGTTATGCTCGCTGTCAGGTCAAACCTTCACCGGGCAGAATCAGATTCTCTTCCTCTTAACATATAAATGTTAAACTATAAGAATGAAATTACCTGAGATTAAATGCATAATATTCTCGTAGCTATGATCAAAATTTTGCGTATATATATCTGTTATGTTGGTACTAGTCAAAAATATAGAACACGGATAACGTTGTCTTTGCACAAATATGTCTACTTTGATAAGATAGGACACGAGATTAGTCTCTTAATGATACTAGAGTAATAGTGGGTTTCTGACACCAAAATCCCCGTTTTAAATATATTGTTTCCTCTGTTTTGTCAAAGATAATGTCAGGGATGATATGTTTCATACAGAGATTTTTGTCTCAGAAACCAACGGTAAGTGGTCAAAATTTGATAAATACATCACTCTTCTTGCATGTCTTTAATACGATTTTCATATTATACATTTAAAAAAAAACTTTAAAAACAAAAAATTGTCACGACTGAGTTTTTAGTTTTAGCTTTGAAAACTGAAATAAAAAAATTCTGCTTTGTCCCAAAAGACAGAATATCCAAGTTCGTATATCTAAACGTTTTTAAGATGAAGTGATGAATAATCAATTTATTCACCAGGTGTTCTCATCACTGGCGTGACCCTCATCACCGAAATGTGTGAGAACAGTCCCGACACACTCAATCATTTTAAAAAGGTTGGTATCATTTTTCTTTTATTACTTTGTTATTATTAATTTAACATTTAAAAACATTTAAGTAACCAGTGTTTTAACTTGATTGCAAGACATAACAGTTAACAATATAAAACCTTTTTACGTTTGTATAGATGAAATTAAAAAAAAAACATAAAAACTAGTATAATGGAAATAACTTTGGTTACCTTATCATGACTTGACTTATAAACGTAGACACGAATGTCGTTAAAAGAAAAACGATTGTAATAAAAAAGTAGTCGATTATGCGTCCTAGAAACGATTACAGATTTTCTAGTATAGATGTAACCAGGCGTACAAGTTGGCACATCTAGCCAAGGAGTATTTTTGTTCTTGACGTGCCAAATGAAATAGTTCTATAACTCGTCAGATGTTTGTGGACTGGTTATTTTTAATAACAGTATAATTAGTTTCTATCTTTATTGTCAGTCAAGGCAAACAATCAATTAACTTATTCTTTTACACTTTTTGCAATGGAATTGTTGAAAAATTAAGTTCTTTGACCCCATTTGTCAAGTAAAGAACAGGGTTTCCTAAAAGTGCGTTTTATTTAGTGAAAAAGTACATTGGCAAATAGATAAGGAAATAAGAATGATTTATTTCGTATTTTGTATTGATTACACGCGGTAAAATTCATAAGTATATTTATTTCATAATAGAAATATTAGGTTCCAAATAAATGTATTGATACTTGTTTTGTATAGAAAAGTATCTGCATTGCTGTTGCTAGTCTAATAAGCTAATCTAAGTGACCCACTGACCCAAAGCGAACTGCTTTACAGCACGCTTTACGTAGGAACAGTTGTCTATGGGCAGCGGTTATTTGCAATTTTATTGGCCCGTTCGCCAGGTGCAATACCACGATCACACAGAAGACAGGCGTGAAGTGGAAGCAATTTCGCGTTTCGTCTGATGAGTGTGCGTCCCGGAGGCCTAATTTAGTCATCTTTCCCTTCCAACCCTTTTTCTTATAAGGAAAGGATTGAGAACTGGAAGTGGATTTACCGGATGAGGGGATCCCCTCCTCCGTCAATTAAACGCATCTGCAATTGCGTATGTCCATGGGCAACGGCCGCTTCGCTATTTAAGCGATGTCAGGTGGGCGCTCGCTCGTTTGCCACCTAATGAAATAAATAAAATAACGACTGAATTTATGATATGTATGTATCTTTTAGTTCTAGTTTAGGTAAATTATATATAACGATAGTATACATAGAAGAAACGTCGTCTCAAACACGCCAATGTAAATATCACGTTGAGGCAACGTACCTTATCGCATTGATACAATGAATGTTTACTTATCGCTTATCGCTAACTATTCATCGGTTATTAATATAATTATTATATATAAAACATGATTTACCTGTACGTCGTTTGTACAAAGAAGTAACTTACAACTATTTATCACGTTTATTTTGTGGTTGTTAATTTTAAGACTTATATTTTAGTGAGATGTGTGAGCGTCGGTGGCTCAGGGGTTAAGGCACTTGACTTGTAATCTGCATGTCTTGGGTTCGAATCCCGCCATGTACCAATGTGTTTTTCAATTTTCGATTTTCATATGTACATTTATCCGACGTTCTTACGGTAAAGAAAAACATCGTGATGCAATTTGCACATATCTGCGAAGAAATTCAAAGATATGTGTGAAGTCAACCAACCCGCACTGGGCCAGCGAGGTTGACTATGGCCTAATCCTTAATTTAGGGTAGGCTCCGAGCCCCTCGGTGGGGATGTATAGTGAGCTGTTGATAATCATAAATAATAAAACATTGTGTGTAAGCATATATTTACAAATCGGAATTTCATTCGTTATTGAATGGAAAGTATTCGTCTATATTTAAATATAATTTTTTAAAATGATATTTATATTAGTTATAGTAATTTTGAAAGTAATATAATACTAATATAATATTTGTGTTGTCCCGTAGGAGAGCGGACAGCGCGAGGTAATCACAGTCGCTGGTCCTTGCACTTTATATGTTCATATGATGATATTGCACACGAATATAACTTTTATATCTTTACATTATATGTGATAATCGCGTGACCAACGTTAGCGTGTATATGTTATCTACAAAAGGTAACATGGCCTCGCTAATCTAGAATCCGATCGAAAATCCGACACCGACACCCAAACCACTCGGTTCAATGACCTAAAGTGCCCGCAAAAATAAAACCTGATTGGCCAATACATGGTTAATCTTACTTCTTACTAATATTATAAATGCGAATGTATGGTTGGATGTTTGTTGGATCTTCAGAACTGTGTATGGGTCTCACTGAATGTAGAACATAGCCTGGAAGGACACATAGTCTACTAATTACGTACTTTTTTCAATTCCGCGCAGACAGAGTCGCTGGTGACAATTAGTGTTTATTATTTATATTGCCGATAAGGTTTTAGACTATAGTAATTTTATATTATAATTATAAGAACAATCTTTTAGATTTCCACTGAAGTTGTCTGTAGATTTAATATATCCATAGGTTTCCGATACCAAAAACACATTGTCATGTTTTTAAAGAAAAAAGAAAAAGTATGTTCATTTTTTTTGTACATGTGTTTAGGCTATTGAGCCTCATGGTTAGGTTAGTTAATTTCTAGAAAATATAGAATACATAGTACAAGAATAAGATAAAATAATGTCACCTTTATCACAAAATGAACATTACCGGCCGATAATGGTGGTAAAAAACGTACATACGTGCAATGTCAACATATGAACGTTCAAACGCATGAATGTTAATTATATATTGATTGTTATATGTGTATGTGTTGGTCCTCAAAAGCCTTACAATTATTTTAGACTGTATTACGATACACGTAAAGTTCATTTTCTCTACTTATGTAGATAATATTGCACTTTAATGTAAATAATCAATTTATAGAATCAGCTTGTAGTTAATATTTGTATCGTGCGAAATATATTAAAACTTTTTGGATAGTACAAAGTAAAGTTTAAGTAGATTTGTTTGTACGAACAATTTTACGTATTTGTTTAACTCTTAACAATGTACACTACAAAGGAAAGAAAGAAAGTATGAAGTTAAAAATGTGTATATTAGAGGAATTTTGAAAGTAGCGTGGTTTGGACATGTTATGCGGAGGGATGATGATGATATAAGCAAAAAGTAATGAGATTGAATGTGGATGTCTACAAAGGTAGAGGAAGACCAAAAAAATATGGAATGACTGTATGAAAGAGGATATGCGTAGGAAGGTGGTAGATTGGGATATGACGGCTGATAGAGATGTATGGAGGAGTAATATGTACTGTACCGACCCTTAATAGATATAAGGGCAGGTTGATGATGTACACTACACGTAATTTTTTTTTATATAATTGTATATGTTTTGCAACATTTAATAACATATTAAATAGTAATTTTATGTAACAATTTTGGTAGATTATTGTTTAGAATAGAATAACATTGTTATTATATGCATTTGTAAGGCTTTTGATATATAATCGGATTTGGTATTTTGGGCTTTCAGTATTATGTATACATATTTATATCACGAATTGTATTTTATATATTCAGTTTATGTGCTTATGATATTTATCAATCAGGATTGGATATTTATTTGATTATAACTAAATACTATATTCAGTATTTTTTAACAATCTGGTTTTTTGGTATACCTGTAGAATTATTTGTTTTTGGGTACGGTTGACCACAAATGGTTTTTTTAAGCACGGGACTAATTTGATTTTTTTATTAATTGCCCATATTCAAGCCTTATGTATCAATGTTTGTGAAATGCTGGAATCTATTATTACTATAAAGTATTTAGTTTTCTATGTATATTTCTGCATTGAGTGTAGGTTAATGTGTAAAAGTATATTTTGGCTTATGTATTTGGGCAATTATTATGTTTGTTTTATATATAGAATAAATATTAAAATAGATTTTTATTCTAGATTGTTCCAAATCTGGTGAGAATATTGAAGAATCTAATATTAGCGGGGTATTCACCTGAACATGATGTCAGCGGTATATCTGATCCATTTCTACAGGTAATTATTAGTAATAGTAAGTTTTAAAAGAATTGGCTTGATTTTCAACTTGTTTAGATAAAAAAAAGCATAAAGTCAACCAATTATTTGTTGTAAGAACGACAAGTCTTAACACGTTGAATGCCAGCGGTTCATCCTGTGATTAATACATGAAAATCATAGTAGCATTGAATGTGTTAAATTATTACTCATATATAAAGTGGTTTAAATAATTATTTAACATTTTCCAGGTTAAAATTCTCCGTCTACTAAGAATACTTGGTAAGAATGACGCAGAAGCATCCGAAGCAATGAATGACATATTGGCCCAAGTCGCTACAAACACTGAGACAAGTAAAAACGTCGGTAATACAATATTATACGAAACTGTACTCTCCATCATGGATATTAAGTCTGAGAGTAGCTTGCGTGTACTAGCTATCAACATCCTGGGACGATTTCTACTGAATAATGATAAAAATATAAGATATGTTGCACTGAATACATTGCTAAGGACGGTACACGTGGATACATCAGCTGTTCAAAGACATAGGACTACTATACTGGAGTGCTTAAAGGTAAACTTCAAAACTAGAGGATTTTTCATTCAGTGAGTGCGCAGACCGGCGCGGGCGCTGTGTCTACACCGAGCTTATCACTTGTCAAACCACGCGCACTACTGACAGATACACTGACACTGACAGATGTCAATCATGCATTTTACGAGCAGTGTTGCCATTCGAACATAATTTAAGTCATAAATTGATATTCTTCGACATGTATTTACATTTAGCCTTCTCAAAATAATAAGTAATTGATTGTTTAGAAATTTATCTTATATATTCTGACATCTGTTACTCAATGAGCCGTCTTATTCGGTGCAACTTTTGGGGTAAAACACAATCATTTGAACAACTTTTAAGGTAATGCATTCCATCTCATATTTTTGAAGTAATATATTCAACTTTTTAGCTAAAATACAGTCTTAATTCATAGTAACTTACATTTTTTCTGAGTTTAAAAGGTCGATGTATATTTGTAAAGTCAATTTTTATAGATATTTTGACAGTTTTGTCTTTGGAATGATTTTTCCTACATTTAATTTAATATCGCAAAATATTTATTATCAAGTTCAATGTTGAAGATAAAAAAATATTCTTTGACATTGCATAACTGTAAATTACATTAATATTGAGAGTCACGAGTGAATTATGTTAATAATAAATAAATTTTCTTGTCACGTACGCGCTTAGAATGAAGGCTAATCGCTCACCTTTGTTTTGCTCGTCTATACATGCATAGTCGTTATATAACTATGTTAAAATATAAAAATTTTGAAAGAAAAAAAAATGGAGATATAGACCGACAAAATTATTATTTAGCCTTATGCGCATACGTGAAACTAAATTCGAATACCTTAATAGCTCGTATGCCTTTGGCATTAGTCAATTTAAAAAAAAGTGCTTTATTAGAACGTGGCTGTTTTCAATCATTTTCTATGTCTTATCTTACTAATAATATAAATGCGAATTGTTCAAAATAAAAGCATCGTTCTCTTCACTTAATGTTTATTATAGAATTATGATGATAACTTAACAGAACATATATACAACACACTACGATTTAACAAATATAACCTTTTACCTTTTTAGTGGCGCCCTCTGACGTAATACAATCGAATTACGCTTAGACAGAATGTTTGTATGTATGGATGGATGTTTGTTAGGAGGTATCTCCAGAACGATTTAACGGATCTGGTGAACTGTGTCTGGAAGAACTCATAGACTAATAATTAAGTTGTTTTTTAAATCCATGCAAACAGAAGTAACGTGTGTATGTTATGTCGTAGGACCCGGACGTGTCGATCAGGCGTCGCGCGATGGAGCTGTCGTTCGCGCTGATGAACAGCCAGAACATCCGCGGCATGATGAAGGAGCTGCTGGTGTTCCTGGAGCGCGCGGAGGCGGAGTGCCGCGCGCACTGCTCCAGCGCCATGGTGCTCGCCGCCGAGCGGTACGCGCCCTCCAGCAAGTGGCATCTCGACACGCTCTTCCGTCTGCTGCTCAAGGTGACGATACAACAAACTACTATATTCTAAATATTATACGCGTTAGCTTAACCTATTCAGCCTATTCTTGAAAGTACCAACGTCAAACTTGGAAACGCGCTGACAACATATTTTAATCCTTTTTGGCTGACTGATTAATTTTCAAAATGTTTTCTAACCCTCTTACGTACACGAGTACGAAATGTTGTACTTAAAAATGTCCTTGTCGACCAGGCCGGCAACTACCTGCGTGATGACACGGTGTCCAGCACCATACAGATAATATCCGCGGCGCCGGCGGAGCGCCAGGCCTACGCCGCCATGAGGCTCTGGACATCGCTGGAGCGCTCCGCCGTCTCCGGAGACGCCACAGAGAAACAACCGCTTGTTCAGGTAATCTATAGATCAGAATATCTGACACAGTGGCCGTAAGATTTAGTAAATAATAGTAGATCACTGGCGCCCCCATAACAATGTCAAAAAAGTACTACAAGGTCCTAAATCGAATTCAGTTATTTCACGCTACAATATTCTCGTTTACTGCGTCTAAAACATTTACTTAGTATGGATATCTCTTAACAAATCTATATTAAGAGTGGCCCTTAGTAGCTCTTTGGCAATTCTGAGTGCGATAACAATGTTTATTAACAAGTTTCTATGTATTTCAGGTGGCAGCGTGGACAATCGGAGAGTACGGAGATCTGCTAGTGTCAGAAGCCAGTAGTGCTATATCTATGGTGGATGAGGATGGCTTTGGTATGATTTACTTCCTATTATTTAAAAATATTACCAAATACTACCAAAATTAATTCTTATACCTATAGTCAATTTTTTTCATTATCTTATAATATATACAGATGAGTTCACGCGCCCATCTGAGGAGTACGTGATAGATATTTACCAGAAGCTACTGTGGTCGACGCAGCTGTCCATCACAACTAAGGAGTACCTGCTGCTTTCGCTCGCCAAGCTCTCCACGAGATTCACCACTAGACCCAGTCAGGAGTTAGTACACTGATATATACAATAGTAGTAGGACATATAGTTGGTTTCCGAGACCATAATTTCGTCACACCTATCGTTATTTTTGACAAACCACAGATATCAAATTTTATACCGGGATTTCATCACATCAAATAAATTATCTTGTAATTTGTTTCAGTAAAATTCGCGTGATAATCGACACTTTCGGTTCACACATACACATTGAGTTGCAGCAGAGAGGCGTGGAGCTATCACAACTTTACAGGTAAACATTCTTCTTAAGAAATAAACAGTAAAAATATGTTGAAGTTAGAACATTACAGGAATTTAAAATAAAAAAAACATAGTAAAGTAGTCTATGTGTTCTTTCAGACTGTCTGTGTCCTCCGTCTATGCTAAATTTCATAGAGATCCTTTGAGCCGTTCTAGAGATACCTTCTATCAAACATTCATCTATTTAAACATCCGCATTTATAATATTAGTAAGATCAGTTTGATATATAAAGTTCATGGACATTTTTTTAAATATATTCATAGTAAATTATAATGTGATTGTTATAGGCAATACGCGCATTTACGACCGGCGTTGTTGGAACGTATGCCGGCCATGGAGGCGCCGGCTGGTGAGAGAGATGATAGTGACGCTGAAGGAGACGCGCCAGCAGACTCGCCACAACATCGCGCTGACAGGCCGCAGCCGGTATGCAACACCTAGCACATGTACACTCAGCTGCATTAAATATGTAGCATCTAAATGTGTATAGAAACTTGTATACTGTTTCGGTTTTTAAAATACGATTGCGCATAGACACTAGTACGTATTCATGCTCGGAAGAGTACGAACTTTGATACTTATTTTTCAAACCGAGGGCATATACTAGCTTCTGAAGCTCTATAAATGGATACATATTTATGCAGCTGACTGTACACATCCATGAACACATTTACGCACATCCATAGCTCATAATGTAACGCAGTGGGTAACATAATCGTGTAAAGAAGAAGAATTACATGATTCAAATCCAGGTTGATCCAAAGAAACTGCGACTTTGCATAACCAGAGATAATTGTATATACTAAATCAAGATACACTATATTTGGGAAATTAATAATATTTCTGTACATGATGGTAACATTAAACATCTCCATATAAATTCGAGAATATGAACTTAATAAAAATAGTAACTAATAGTTACATATTTGTGATGTTTGGTTAATATTTCAGGACGCACTGCTCGACCTGATCATTGGGTCGGAGCCGCTGTCGAACGGCGACGCGGAGCACGACCTGCCCGCCGCCACCGCACCACCGCCAGACAACAATAACACTACAACTACCAATGTTAGTATTATTACATACGAATAACATAAAAAAACATCGTAAAGTTAGGCAACGCATCTGTAATTGCAGATGTCTATGGGCGGCGGTTTTCAGGCAATTCAAGTGGCAGCTTGCTTTTTTGTCACTTTATGAAATAAAAAAATCAAATCAGTAAAATTTAGCGGACGAAAATAGTAGCATTTACATCTGTGATGTTTAACGTGAAGAGTTTAAAGTTTGAAAACTCTTAAATATTCGCGAATGTTTATTGAAATTCGTGTTGTTCTCTGTCAGGACATTCTGGACCTGTTGAGCGGTTTGGACCTGAGCTCTCCGAGTGTGCCGGCGCCCGCCCCGCTCACCAGCAGCGCGCCCGCCACCAACCTGCTGCTCGACGGACTCTTCTCATCACCTGCACCCACACAACCTGTATCACAACCTGGTGAGTGCCCTTTTTTATTTAAAAAAATAATCCAATAATTTTAAATGTTTCAAATCTCTTACTAATGATTCAATACTGTATATAACCTTTACTTTACTCGTTTTGGAATGTTATCTTTAAAATATGCATATTGCAAGCAAATACATTATGGCATAGTTGATTACATTCACGTTATTTTAATGATTTCAGAGACGACGGTAACAGCATTAGAGCGCAACGGTCTGCGTGTGGAGTTCGTGGTGTGCAGCGGCGGAGACACCGCCACCCTCACCATGCGGGCACTCTCCACTGCGCGCTCAGCTCTCACTGACTTCTTGTTCCAAGCTGCCGTACCCAGAGTCAGTACACTTATATTCAAACTTTATTATATTATCAACCGTATTAGATATCAGCGGGACCCATAGACAAATTCAAGGGGAATGAGAATTATAAAAACTCTAATAATTGTACCTTTGTAACGCTGTCATCGTAGACTTAAAAACAGACCTTTTTGTATCATCAAATAAAATACCTAAACATTCCAAAATCAATCCTAGTCATAGACGTAGAACATAATCTGGAAGAACACATAGGCAACTAATTAAGTTTTCTTCACTCCAGCGCGGACGACAGCTAGTTTTATAATGCTTTTAGTTCTTTTCAATTGCTAATTCTTTACACCAACAATAAAATAACGAATCCCTTGTGTTTGGGCAGACGTTCAGATTGGACATGATGTCGCCATCAGGCACGGTGCTCACGCCGCAGGGGGAGATCACGCAAGTTCTCAAAGTCACCAATCCATCCAGGGTAAGATTCATTGTAAAAAGTAACAAGATACGACTATTTTACTTAATGCCAATACAGTAGAACAGTAGCACATGTAAACACAACTGGCACTATTGATTCAAAACAGTTTTTGACAGGCCAGCCCTACTGTCCCACTGTACTGGCATAAAATAAAACAGGCATATCAGTAAAAGAAACCTTTAAAAGAAATAATAAATAAATAAATATATCTGTCAACCATAGAAGAGCACAAAAAATGCCACGAACTTGCCAACCGATGTTACTTTTATACGAGAACAATCGTAATGACACTTATAATTATTTTTATAATTTCCAGACACCATTACGGTTACGAATAAGAGTATCCTACAACATCGAGGGCTCGCCCGTGCTCGAGCAGGCGGAGGTCAACAACTTCCCGCCTGATCTGTTCAACTGACGAGCGACCATCTGACTGACACCGCGGACAATGACACCCGCACAGTGTTGACACCAACATGAAGAGCATGTTAACCTCCGCAAAGGCTCACAGTCGAATTTAATGGAAATGACAAATTATATCTACACATGACAGTGGCAGACTATATCAACGTCTTGTAGGGATGGGCCTTCATCTAACGAATTAGTAAAATCAACTGTTGATCACTTTTCAACATCTCAACCGTTGACTTTTTTATTTAACTTGTTGAATTCAACATAAATTTACATTACAATTACTGGTTGTCTTTTTTCCTCTGCCAGTTGAATCATTGTTCGTTGAATCTATGATTAATTACTTGACAAAATCAACTTGTTTTTCTAATAATTGAAAATGGCAAGTTTATGGTTTTATTGACCCCAAAAACATTCAACGACACATCCCTAAAGTCTATGGATTTATATTGGTAGAGTAAAATGTCTAAATTGACATGTCTATTTTTAATAAGTCTGTGAATACAGCCTTATAAAGATGTAGCGGTTGAAATAGATTTATTAAAATTTAACATTTCCATTGAATTCGACTAAAAATATAAAAAAAACCCCCAAACAGTAACCGCTAGATATCCTATAAAATTTTAGCAATATTTGGATAAGGATTATGTGCAAATAGAGTGAGATTTTGGATTATAGAGGTTAATATTGAACAGTGAACACGGACAATGGTAGTCAAGACTCGAATGTGAATTGTGTCTTTTGTAATAAATTTTCATACTGAAGATTGTTAAAAATGTATGCAGTTTTTGGTAAAAATGGCAGCTTTCCTTCGGATTTATTGCATCAAGTTGGTAGTGACAGGTGACAAGATGTATTTGTTGAAGCCTCATTCACATGAACATTGTCAGATTTTCTGTGAAAATACTATTAAATAAACCTTTTTTAATAAAGAAATCAATCGTAATCGATAGTTTTCTAATGTAACTGATCGCAATTTAAAGATTGGAACAGAAAAATCGACGATAACACGTTGTTGTGAGTGAAATATTTAATTTGTATGTAAGAAATGTTGACATAATGATTTAAATAGAACAAGCAACATTTTCGTTAATTAATTTTTTGTAACTTCAGTCAACAAAAGGCTTTAACGGTGGTATAAAATATTACGTTCGTGTGAATGAAGCTTTAATAAGTTATTGTGGTAAATTAAGCAACAAAGTGAACTAAATATACAGATTTGTTTGTATTTAGTACATCCATCGGTTTAGTAGTTTGTAGTCATCACTAATTCTAGGAGATTACGTTTAACATTCCACTTTTTAGATATTTTTACTAAGACTTTTTACCATTAAGTCTGAAAATGTTAGGGCCCAAGCTTCTGCGGAGTCTAATTCATCCCCATTGCTGAAACTTATACAGTTACGGAATATGTTTATGGTTATATTCTAATTGCTAGTAATATTGCTAATATCAAATTAATTTTTCATATTATTCAGTGATACTCAACCTTTGATTATTTAGTAATTGATGTTATAAATTAAACATCTCTGATTTTAAACGTCAAAAGAAATAAAATCTTATAACATATTCGTACGTAAACTTGTAATTATAACCTACTAAATAATCTTGAAACATCGTCCATAATATGTTGAATAAAGTGTTGAGAAATGCTGGATATAAATAAAATTTAACACTTAAAAGAAAGATTCTTAGCAGATTATTTTGTCATATTTTTAAAATAAGTAAATCTCAATAATTAATAACAATAACTAAATTAAATTCTGTTAATTCATCAAAAAATCAGTATAAAATATACGAAATTGTATATTATATTAAGCATTGTATTGTATAAGATTTATAAAAATAAAAACAAAATTCGCCAATAAATTGCATTGGGATTATTTTTATATCATCTGTGTTTGTTTCGCTGTATATAAGGGAGATTGTGAGGATGTAACATATATGTAAGTTTTAACTTGCGAGAAGCGAATGCTTATGTACTTAAACAATATATAATTATCCACTGATTTGTACGTGTGATACACCTAGATTTTATAATATGAAATTCCTTTGATTATATGTTAAAATTAATTATTGGTTTAACATTTTTTGTTATTTATTCATCTATTTTATTACGGGCTCCACTCAACATAAATTTTGGACAAATTTAATCTTTACTTTTAAAGTAACATTGTTAGTAGTTCTTATTCAGTTTACGTATAAAATTATGTCTGAATCAACATGTAATTGTACTTGCTTTAATAACTGAACCGATTAATTTGACATTAAAAACTATTATGTCATGATTTAAATCAAAATATTGGTTATTTTCTAATAAATGTCAACCAATCTCACACTCCCCAGTGTGGAGCCCAATTATTCTTAAGTTAAATTAATAATAGCTTTCAATACAAAATAAATTTGCTTCAAATGCTAGTTTATATTTTATTGCCGTTCCTTTTAGTTAGACGTTGAACATATTCAATGAGGGATGTAAATATATAAAACAAAATTAATATACATAATATAAACAATATAATTACAATGTTATATTTTAATCCCGCTTTTTATGTTTTGGGATACTTAACATATTATATTAAAAGATAAGTTTATTTTGTCCTATGTTTGAGCACTTCAAAGCGATTCACTTTATTTTAGCTTCAAATCATTATGATAAATGATCCCTTTACATTGTTAGCTGTCTGTTTGTACATTCGCCGACCCATTGTTCACTGTAAAGAGAGCTTCGCAAGATATATCGTATTTTGGTGCTTGTTTTTAATATATAGTATCTGATTGACTAGAAAGCCCTCCACGATGTGAGATGTTATGTATAACTAAAGCTATGTGAGAGATGTACATAATGATAATGATTTTATGTAAATTGGTTAATAAATATTTGAGAATGTTTATATAATCAATATGTGTGTTTTATTTCGTCAATATGAAAGTCAGTTATACAAAATAAAACAAGTGTATAAAAAACATAGATGAATAAAACCAAATATAACTCTGAATTAACTTACTTTATTATAGGATTACAAGAGAAAAATGACGGAAATATCATAAATGTTCACAAGATTGACTACATTCACTTTCTGAAAAAGTATGTCGTGAAATTAATTCTTAAACATTTTTGGGAGTTTTAAATTACTCAATCATCGGTGTAGGAGGCGCCGGTCGGCCGCTGACTCCATTGAACAGTCTGTCTTTGATCATCTGCGCCATAAGACCATGGATAACTTCAATAGTCGTCTTACAAGCATCCTTTGTTGCTTTACTCAGTTTGTCCTCTGATCGCTTTTCATGAGGATCTGCGCCCGCGACTAGAAATACACCACGACCTATAAAAAAGTAATATTTTAAAATTTCCATTTCGATAATGGACCTTTAGTCCATTATCTCGAAATAGGACTTTAGTATCTTCGAATCTTAATTCTAGTGTGATTGCAAAAGAATGTTTTTTTTACTGTTTCAAATTCAAAGTAAATTATGTAAATTACAACTTACTCAAGCAAACTTCACTCTGTTCAAGTTTGTCGGACAAGTCAAATATCTGTCCAGTTGTATAATCAGCATTAGTGATAAGACTGGAACTACTGAGTGTATTCACCCAGTACTTGTTCCACAATGAGTCCAGGAGCCTTCGGTCCAAAGATGATTTGAAGTATGAAACTTCTAAAGAATAGTACTGCTTGCAATGTACACCAAAGTCTTCAATCTTATTCAGAGGTATGGTCTGGTACTCTGATGGTTCTTCATTAGCTGGTTTATAACCCTACAACAACATAATGGCATTGAAAAGTAATAAAAAACTTAACTAAAGCTACAGTGGATAATATAACAATATTCACATCACTTATAGAAACAAGGATAAAAATAGTATAGGCATCACATTTAATTTAATTACATAGAAAAAAATAATAACCAACCTTTGGGTAGGTTCTGAAAGCACCGAGGCACACTTTTCCTGCAGAGATAGTTCTCACTGGGTCAATAACAATGGCAACAAAAGGCTCCTGAAAGTTTTGGTTGAGCATCTGTGTGGAGACATCAATGCCAGACAACCAGCAACCATAGCCAGGGTGGCTGTGATACCAGCCTATGGCATTCTCATGGCGACCAACCTGTAGATATTAACAAGCATTAATTATAAGACTATAAACTGGTTGATAAAGTAATAGAAATTACTAGCCAATGAGTTAAAATTAGATTAATGTCAATGATCTATAAAAGTCTTTGTTTTTTGTCATAAAATGCCAATGCTTCATTCCTGCCAGATTTGTTAAGCTGTTCCATTATAATTAAGTCACCAAAATCCATTCAATTTGCCTTTTTTATCCATGAGATTAAGTTATAATTTTCCTTTACCTGTTTAGCCGCTTCAATGTAAGCAGTCATGTACTCATAAGCTTGTGCCTGAGCATTTACCCTGGTCTCTGTACCCTCCACAGGCAATGCAAATGAATCCATAACTATCATTGTGTTTGCATCAACTTTACCTGTAAAACAATTGTTCAATATATAAATACTTACGAATTTTACGAAATATTTTTTACATTATAGTAAATTTAGAAAAATTGTACCTAGTAATAGGCCCATCACTTCCAAAGTACCTCCCGAACGAGCATGCATAACCATTTTGAGTAGGGCCAATGCAGAAATTTTGATGTCTTTGAAGAAATGTGGGCTGAAACATTTATATTGAAATTTAGTATACTATTGATGACCACGATAGACTTAATTTGCAAAATATTCTAATCGAAATTTAAATCTTACTCTTTCTCCCATGGTTTAGCTGCAAGAATATCTTGCTGTTGTTTTTTATCATAACGATAGATTTCATCAACGCTTGATACTGTTTCTATGTTGTTTGCCATAACCCATGTTTTCTGGGCTGTAGTGCTTTGAGAATCAGCACTAGTTGAAGCCATTGTTTCAATTCAATTATATTCCAGACTTTATCTTTGTTTAATATTTCAGTTCCAACGTTTTGCAAAAAGCTTATATATTTTAGGATATTATTTTGTGACACTGACAATGACAAACAATAAGACAAAAAGTGACATTGACAATACAATTTATGGTCGCAAATTATTTAACATTCTGCCAAATAATGTTTTCTTAAAAGTCTTAATTTTAATAAATTTAAAATTATTTTCCTCAGCAGCTAATCACTAATAATCTCTTTTTACGTTTTCCATAAATGTTATAATTAAACAATAATATTCTGCACCATATCCAGAAAATTCTTTAATTTCCTGATAATGATCTACCTATCCTACTTATGCGCATATGTCTATCTTTCTCTAAAATACGATAAGGGTTACGCCTACTTGATATCGTTCTGCCAATAGCGTAACAACACATCCCAGTTTTCGAGAAGAAAAAAGATCACAATTTTGTTTGCGGTCGAGTATGTATGACGAAGAGTTTTGTTGGTGTGAAACAACTTATCGAAGAAAAGTGTTTTAGCAAATGCTTTGTACGGCAACAAAGTAAACAATAGTATGCAATTTACAAGATAATAAATAAATTAAAGAGGCGTGAGTCCAAGGTGTAACTGTAATTGTAAGAGAACAAAACAAGATGAGCGCCCCAATTATCATCACCGTTCCTAACAACTACCTAGCGATGGAGGACATGGACTCCCAGGTGATGGTCGACGTTTCGTCACCATCACCATCACCATCGCGAAAGAGAAGGCTGGACCATCTCACATGGGAGGAGAAAATGCAGCGGAAGTAAGTGATCATTGATTGCGTGCGTGTCCTATTTTTTACCCTAAAAAAGCGGTTCTTATACGATAATTTTATGCTATATAAATGTTATAGTAATATTTGTATGTATATGAATAATTAGGGTTTAACTATTAAAATGTTTATCTTGTTGATTCTAGAATCGTTAAGTTTTCCGTAGATGACGCAGGCAGTCGATCAGGATACTGTTCAATGTTTATCATGACGTAATATGGCCCGGCAAAATTTCCGGAATAACTCACAAATATAATTTAAACAAAATAGCACAAAAGTAAACGTTAAAAATAAGACCGGCAATTTGACATACAATTCATTTACTGATGCAATAAGCAATGCCGACAAATATTTTTGTGAATAGTAAATATCGATATAAATAAAAAATGTAACGGTATAATTAAAATTTTATTTCGTTTTCACTTTTAGGAAATTAAAAAATCGTGTCGCAGCGCAGACCTCACGCGACAGGAAAAAGGCTAAAATGGATGAAATGGAAAGTCGTATCAAACATTTTATGGATGTCAATGAAAAGCTTATTAGTGAAGTGGAGAGTTTGAAGGTAATCACTTCATTCAATAAAAACAAAGTTCATAATCTTTTTATTCATATAAAATAGAAAAATGTAATGTTCGTATTTAGTAGTCTTGTATGTTTGTTTGTTCTCTACCCATTTTGTTATAGTTTGTTTTCCGATATTTAATTGAGTTTAATTCTTCGTACATTTATTAATAAGTAATTTTGTTTTAGGCACTGAACGAGCGTCTGTTAAGTGAGAACACGAAGCTACGCAGTGAGGCGGCGGCTCGCACCGTCGCGGGAGCCCCGGGACCAGCAGCGTCTCAGCCTCAGCAGAAGGTGGGGCTCCCGTCGGCGATGCGAGTGGCACGCCTGCTGCTAGCGATGTGCCTCTTGCAGACATCCTCGCACAGTTCGAATCTGAAGAGTACCTCGACACCCTTCAGCAACTTGCAAACTCCCTCCTCCAAGAAATTGATACAAACACTGCAGGAGCGACTCAAGATGTAAGTTTTTAGACATGCTTTTACTAGTTTAGAACTTCACAATTGAAATGAGGACTTTCAGGACTAGAAATCAAGATTTTAAGGCAAATAAATAAAGTGTTGTGAATGTGAGTTTTTACATGTTGGTAGTACTTGATTTCTTAACAAAAATCATATCATGTTTTGTACATCAACATGATAATAACATGTTCTTACAACTGTCCTGTTTGTTGCACAATTATCTACATGTGAGTCATGTGAAAATACATCCTTCCTATTGCTGATGCAATCTAGTTTTATTTTGCAGATAGTTGCAAAGTTATTGCATCATCTATTGACCTTTTACATGTTAAGTTAATGTCAAAAGTAATATTAATTAAGCACTATTTTTATAAATAGGCAATATATGTTTCATCAAAATTATGAGGCGTTTTCAAGATTTTTATTTTTATCTCATAGGTATCAATCAGGGAAACTGGAGAATGCATTGCAGGACCTCAAATGGTGGGGACCTCAGCAAAGCAACTGGAATCCGGTGAAGGTGGATGCGTAAACATCAGTCCGGAGTACAAGAGCCCAATTGACATCAAACATGATGTTGACAGGATAAAGTCACAACACTCTTATGCACATCCCCATCCAGACATTGTGGTCACCAGGCCCCAAGAAACAGTACAAATTAAAGAAGAGGACTGGGACAAAGGAGACATTTTCTACACAACTGTAGATGAAGCTAATGATTGTATTACTATAGAAGTTCCCTGTGATGATGCAATTAAAGACGAAATTGTACCAGTCAGTACAGATTTGGATTTATTGACTTTGACTAATAACAGTTCGGATTTAACATTAGAATGTGACTTGAAGTTGCTTTCACCGATGACATTGTCACCTAATTCTGAAGATAACTTGCTTGGTGTGTCTCCGTCTCATACGAGCCTCAGTTCTGACTTAGGTTATGAATCACTAGCATCCCCTCTTAGTGAACCCGAGTCTATGGACTTGTCAGACTTCTGGTGTGAATCATTCTCAGAATTGTTTCCCGATTTAACATAAAACGGTTTAATTTTGAGTATAATTCTCACTTGAAGACTGATTAGTTGTTAAGTAAATGCTATTAGAATTATATTAAATCTAATTGATATAAGTTTATTATGATTTTTAGCATTATTAAGTTTAAAATTATTTTATATGAACTAAATGTTTTGTATAGGGATGTACATTGAGTGTTGTAAATAAAGTTCTTTTTTCGGCTCAATTTTGTTTATTTATTGCAACCTAAACAGTTCTACCCACTGCATCTTTAATATATAGCATTTTTTTTCTATACATTTCTGATGATTGTTGATGTATCCATTTAAAAAAAAATCTTAGTTTTTCAACACAAGGTCAATCACCTCAACTATATTTTAAAACCGTACGTGTAAATTTCATAGCCCATACGCTAAATATGACCGTTACGTTACAAACGACAATGGTCACGTAATGTATTAGTGTCTTTGAACCCGTTAGTATTCTTTCAAATTTCTTGGCGGCTCTTAATTCGCGCTTGTCGCTGCGCAGAGTTTAGGCGTAGCGGGATGCGGTGACCTTGTGCCTCCGATATTTGAAAAGTGGGTTTTACGGCGGATTTTTATCAACGAAACTTATTAAATTTTTTGTCACAGAGAATGTGTGAGACAATACGCTATGTACAAATGGGTACCTATATAACTACAATCTATCTTTGTGTAACTAACATAATGTTCGTAATAAACGGGAAATTAATCATGAGTAACCTGTTTGAGCTTCCGATATTTTATAACCTTGTGACCCTGCGTGAGAGGGATACGGCCAGGGAGATGACGATATTGTATAATAACGATTAGGCACAAAGGTAGCTGTGATAATTTACTTCGCATTCCATTCATTAACATAATTACTGAGAGGTAATAAATAGGTGACGAATTTCTATACAGTTATAATCTCGCTTTTTATTCCACAGATTACGCACGTGTTTTCTGTATGTGGCATTTCTTTAATAAAACATTATAAATAATTATCAAACAAATTAACCAAATTAATAAAGTGAGCGATAATTTATGCCAGATACTTGACTTGCTTGTGATTATATTAATTTATCTTATCTTTTCAGATTTACTTTACTAACCCAGATATAAATTGTTATTATATCTACGATTTATGATTTATCCGTCAACCATAAAAATCTTACTTGATTATGACGTATTTTTTGATTTGATATATTTGCAAATGTACCTACTTTTGTACTAACTTCTTGCTTAACTTGAAAATGTAGAAACATTTTATTTACAAATTTCGCGGTTACGTATATACTCTAATTAACATTTTGTTACATCAAATTTGGTGCTCTTACAAAGTGGGTAGCTTTAGGGTAGTTAACAGCTGACTGAGCATCACCAAACGGATCTTCGAGCTGGTAAATGATTCTTATTTAACTTAATTATCGATAGGGGAAGGGTAATTTAGGGAATTCTCGACCACTTTGGTAGTGTCATGTTTAGCTTATTAAATTGTTTTTTTTATTGAAAAGGCAAGAACTTGCTTTAATGTTTAATGTACAAAGTTGGTGGGATTAGTAACACTATAAAAATATTACTATTTAATTATTAAATCAGTCTTTGGAATGTTTCTGTTCCAGGAAACTATTAGCAAATAATTAGGTGTAAGAAAATTATCTTTAAATCTGAATTTTATTCAGATAAATAATGTGCTTCGTTGTGTAACTATAAATTCAATTTTAATCAGGCCAAAATGAACATCCAGGTCTAGGATTGTAGTATAAATCGAAATAGTATTTACTTGAACTAAATAAGTTTTGATTTGTATTTGTTGGCGGCGGAGTTTTTTCTTTATAAATCTGGGGTTTAGTTACTACAGGTATAAAATCGTTTTCTGTAAACAAATTCGTATTAAGAGGATAAATTCCACATCTTTTAAATGCTTCAATAGCGGCGATTGCAGCTGTTTCTTCAGACAATATTTTGTCAAACAATTTCACAACGTGGTCCGTCGTTAACTTGTTCCCTGGGTTTAATTGAAACCAAGTTTCCACAACTTTATCGTATGCTTTAGATAATTCGTTAATAAATACATCATCTGTTGGTTGTAGTTTGTTTTGAGTAAAGGGTGGAAAAGAAATCATGTTAACTCCATTATTTCTGGTAATTTTTACTATTTCAATACTCTTAGTATACATAGGTTGGCCGTCGAAAAGCAAAAGTACTTGCTGCTCTTTCTTAGCTCCGCTTAAAAATATAAATCTTCGAAGCCATTGTAAGAATAGTTCATTTGTCAAGGAACCATTAGGCATGAAGATTCTCCACGCATCATCGTTATTCGTTAAATCAGGTCGATGCTTTTGCGGAAATATCATCATTGGTGGCATATAATGGCCATCTGTGCTAAAACACAATTTTGCCCTTATTATTATTCCGTCTTTATTATCCTTATTCCCTATTTGATTTATAATATAGGTGGTACTTTCTCCGAGAAAAATTTTAACATAATCTGTGGTATAGATTCGGTCTGGTGGAATTTTTTTTACATCGTAAACTTCACTTAAATGTTTATAAAAATAATCAATTTCTGCCATATTGAAACCTCCAGGTTTTGAATTTATATCCGGTATTCGTAAAATTATTTTAGGATGTCGTCTCATTAGATCTAAAACCCAAAGCCGTTCGGCCATGATGGCATTATTTCTAAATAGAAGTTTTTTATTATGTTTCTCTGCTACTTGATTTGCTAAAATCATAACGTCGTTTATTGTTAACCTTAATACAATTTTTTGTAATTCTGTGATGTAATCTGCCAGTTCATCTTCTTCTTCTGGAGTAAGTAATACAGTCTTCGGACGTTGAGGCCTCTCTTCTTGGGTGAATTTTGGTCGGGACGAACGTATTTTCATTTTCGTTTCTATTTTATTTTTTAAGCATCCTAATATCTTGTAGACAAGTAGCAATCCATGTTATCCATTTCGGAAAACGTTGAACCTTTATAAGTTTTCTTGACCAATTGATACAAGAGTTTAAAATGACTTATATTCTGTAAAAATTTCAAACAAGAGGTTTAATCACAAAAAAATGACCATTTGGTCAGTTGGAAGAATTATTATAGTTGCTACGATCCTCATAGAAACTTTGGTAAATATTACTTTGGTATAGAAGTTGATTTTGAACCGATATAAACTTATAAAAATTAATACGTTTTGATCAGCTGATTAAAGTTGATCTGCTTGCTAGTAACTGTCGTATTTATTTATAGGAAAAAGACACAATATCTAAATAACACGTTTATGCAAATATATAACCAAACTAGCTCTATTATTTTATTAAATTTAAAAATATCATTATGTTAGGTTATGTTACATTGTGCAATTAAACTTATAAATTGATTATATCAAAAAATGTTACCTGAACGCTTCCAATAGAATGACATTTAGTTCCATTTGCTTCGGATTATCTTGTCACGTGATCGATGAACTTAGTATTGTTTACAGCATATTTAATTAAAAAAATCTGCGTTTTAAATGCCAAATACGGTCTAACTATATGATAACACTGACTCGAATGACTGAACCACGACGTGATGACGTCATTCCTGTTATTTTATTACTCCTATTTCATTTTTATGTTAACCTCAATTTTAGGCTTATTAAAGCACTCAATGCCGTAGTATAACTCAATAAGTAAATATTTGTATACTTTTTCAGATATAATGACTTTATGATCGCAGGAGTTGCTGGGGCATACTTGTTCATACATATATTTAAAAATAAATATGGCACTTCGTATTACCCCTACATATCGAATTGGGTTTTCCCAACATTGAAACAATATTTATTGTTATTCCTTCCATGCTCTGCTAAACTGAATTAACAATTTTTGTATAGATATTTCGGTAGTGAAAACATTTAGTAATAGTATCAAAACAGTCAAAGGCATAATATCTATGCGCATAAGGAAAATTTAAAACTAACAATGCCGAGTTGTTATTGGATTTTTTTTTCTGTTGATTCAAAGACATAAGCGAGGATATTAATTTTATTATAAACGTGAAGTTTGACTTGAGTGCAATAGTTTTAATATTTTTTCTTTTGATGTCGGAGGGTCAAAGTTCAAGATACTTTTAGTTTTTGGACTTTTTTCTTTTCTATTGTGTTACGAGGGTCTCTACTAATTTCATTGTTTCCACAGATTAAAATGACAAAACAATTGGGAATGAATGGATTATAAGTTTTAATTGTGTCAAATAAAAATGCGTTTAAAAAAACATTAAATATATTTGTTAAAATATTATATTACAGATTCAATAAAATCAATATATCTCAAATTACACATAACTATGACTGACGTCAGTTGAACCCACACTCACGCGTATGGAGCCAAATATATATAATGTTGTTAATGCACCTTTTTGCAAATAAAAGCATCTTAAATTAAATTTATTTAAAGGTCTTTGTTATTTTAATTTAAATCTAGTAATTTTATTCAGTCAACGAAAATGCTATATATTAAAATGTTGTACTTATTGTTTAGGATCAATGACATTTTTTTTATAGAATCGACATAGACAAATCATATCATAGTCTGAAACTTGCAATATGGCCGTCGTGCTTTTAGCTAATGGCGCATTAACAACAAAAGAACAATTGTTACAAAGCAGTTTGGCACTCGCACCTAACGAACTAAAGCGATAACCATAATTGCTGTAATAAAAAATACAACTTGCAAACATAGAACCTGCGTAGCACGATTAC